CTCATGAGAATGGACGCCCTTTATTTTGTTTCTTTTGGGCATACCAGAACGCAAGCTGGTGATGCTGTTTCAATGCTTGGCTAAGCTTTTGACCTGGAATTGCTTTTGGCGGTGTGCCATTGGGATTTGACTCCAAGTTGACAGGTCGTATCTTCCCGTATTCTGATTCCGGGCATAGCTAAATGCAACTAGGGACATGATTCAAAGTTTGCAACGACTTCGTGAAAGTCTTCCACTCTCCTGCAAGTGTGCCATTGGGATTTTAGTTTTTTTTGAGAATGGACACCCTTTATTTATTTTGTTTTTTTTGGGAAATACCAGAACGCAAGCTGGCGATGCTGTTTCAATGCTTGGCTAAGCTTTTGACCTGGAATTGCTTTTGGCGGTGTGCCGTTGGGATTTGACTCCACGTTGACAGGTCGCACCTTCCCATTTTCTGATTCCTAGAATAGCTAAATGCAACTAGGTACATGATTCAAAGTTTGCAACGGCTTCGTGAAAGTCTTCCACTCTCCTGCAAGTGTGCCATTGGGATTTTATTTTTTTTTGAGAATGGACACCCTTTATTTTGTTTCTTTTGGAAATACCAGAACGCAAGCTGGCGATGCTGTTTCAATGCTTGGCTAAGCTTTTGACCTGGAATTGCTTTTGGCGGTGTGCCATTGGGATTTGACTCCGAGTTGACAGGTCGCACCTTCCCATTTTCTGATTCCTAGAATAGCTAAATGCAACTAGGGACATGATTCAAAGTTCGCAACGACTTCGTGAAAGTCTTCCACTCTCCTGCAAGTGTGCCATTGGGATTTTAGTTTTTTTTTGAGAATGGACACCCTTTATTTTGTTTTTTTTGAGATACCAGAGCCGCAAGCTGGCGATGCTGTTTCAATGCTTGGCTAAGCTTTTGGCCTGGAATGGCTTTTGGCGGTGTGCCATTGGGATTTGACTCCGAGTTGGCAGGTCGCACCTTCCCATTTTCTGATTCCGGGCATAGCTAAATGATTCCAAGATTGTCACGACTTCGTGAAAGTCTTCCACTCCCCTGCAAGTGTGCCATTGGGATTTTAGCGTTTATGAGAATGGAGACCCTTTATTTTGTTTCTTTTGGAAATACCAGAACGCAAGCTGGCGATGCTGTTTCAATGCTTGGCTAAGCTTTTGGCCTGGAATGGCTTTTGGCGGTGTGCCATTGGGATTTGACTCCGAGTTGACAGGTCGCACCTTCCCATTTTCTGATTCCGGGCATAGCTAAATGCAAGCTAGGGACATGATTCAAAGTTTGCAACGACTTCAAAACATGATGCATCTGAGCCGCTGTGCCTTGGGGATTTGAAACCTGGGGTAACTATTGTTTGCCCTGGGGTAACTCGGTGTGCCTTGCGGATGGGGCAACTACTAGGTGGATGGGGTAAGTAAGGGCGTCCGCTTGTAGATGATGATAGGACAGATATGAGTGGAAGTTGAGATGTACATGGGCACCTCTTGCAAACTCATGTCATCCTTCCATTCTTTGGCAGCAGAGCCTTTCTCATTACGTTGGAACATCTCCCACTGAAAGATCTGAAAGGCCATCAAGGATCATGGAATCATGGTTCATCCATTTAGCTATTCGGTTCCTGACTAACCTCTCAGATTTGAACTTGCTGTGGGTACCTGACAGTACCTGACAGGTGTGGTCGCTCCAGAAAGCACAAATCAGGATATCCTCCTGCAGGCTAAAGGACAACGGCGGAGCGTTGTTTTGGCGGATGTTTTTCCTTTTCAGTCATGCAAAAACGACAGCAGCAATCGGTTGGTACACGGATTCATGTAATTAGCAGGACTTATGCACAGCAACTTGGCTACAAACTGAAGTGATGCCGAAGTGATGCCGAAGTGATGCCTGTCATCAGAGGTTCTTCTTCGGTGCTGAGTCAATCTCCATGCCGAGGTTATGGGTGGCTTCCTGGCCGACGACAACCGGAAACTCTCACCTTGCAGGGAGTGCCCTGCCATGGCCACGAATCAAGAAAGGTCCATTATGGTCCATTAAACTGTACTGATTCCATTTTCTTCCATTTTCTTCCACCGTGAGACCCTGGTCAAATTATGATCCAATACTATGGTGGAGTTTATGGCCAATGAAACATCGTGAATGAAAAATCATGGAAACATCATGAAACATCATGGAAAGATCATGAAACATCATGGAAAGATCATGACATCATGAAACATCATGGAAACATCATGACATCATGAAACATCATGGAAACATCATGGAAACATCATGGAAACATCATGGAAACATCATGGAAACATCATGGAACCATCATGGAAACATCATGACATCATGAAACATCATGGAAACATCATGGAAACATCATGGAAACATCATGGAAACATCATGGAAACATCATGACATCATGAAACATCATGAAACATCATGGAAACATCATGACATCATGAAACATCATGAAACATCATGGAAACATCATGGAAACATCATGGAAACATCATGGAAACATCATGGAAACATCATGAAACACCATGAAACGTCATGGAACACCATGAAACATCATGGACAGATCATGGACAGATCATGAAAACATCATGGAAACATCATGGAAACATCATGGAAACATCATGAAACACCATGAAACGTCATGGAACACCATGAAACATCATGGACAGATCATGGACAGATCATGAAAACATCATGGAAACATCATGGAAACATCATGGAAACATCATGAAACACCATGAAACGTCATGGAACACCATGAAACATCATGGACAGATCATGGACAGATCATGAAACATCATGAAACATCATGAAACATCATGAAACATCATGAAACATCATGAAACATCATGAAACATCATGAAACATCATGGAAACCCGTGCAAACATTGAAATGTGAGCTTCGCAAGCCAACGGTGCATCAGCAGCTCGGAGAATGCATCCGTGGTGCCACAGGATGCATGGAAGAGGCTGTTTGCATCAATTCCGAGATGGCGGCGAGATCCTGGATCGGCCTTTGCCCACAGGCGGAATTGGGGGAATGGAATGAAACAAGGTGCAAATTCCAGAGGATGCAACATGATGTGTGCAACCACATGTCGGAGAAATGGACAACTGGAAGACTTTAGGGCCTTTAGGGCCTGATAGAACTTAAATGGAGCGGCCTATTTTGGGCACATTATCGCCTTTGCATGCAGACAGTTTCACTGGTTCACAATGATGTACGCAGGAGACAGTGATAAACGGATCCTTGGAAAGCAATACGTATATATATATATTATAAACATTATCAACTGAGCAATGCAGAGAAATTCTGTTGGACCAGCTTCAAAAAACACTCCTTAGCACCAGTCTTTTTGAGCCTGCCATCATTCTCACAGCCAAGGTGACTTGACAGTGAAAGAGAACCTGCAGTTCTTTGCCAATGTTCGAGGCCCGTGTCCCAATGGATCCCCGTTGATCTCAGATTCCAACCGTCCCTCGGTCGCTCCGGAGGTGCCACGGGTGATGAGGCCAACGGCTTTGTTCAGGGCATTCTCCGCGCCACGCGGCTGGAGGAGAAGCAGAACGCTCTCCCGGATGCGCGCCTTGGAAGAAATCCATGTCCTGTAGTCATTTCGGTTTAACAGAGTTGAAGTATATTGTTGAAGTACCTTGAAAAACACATGAAACATATTGAAACATGTAGTACCTATCTCTTTGCAACATACCATTGAAATCCATTGAATTTATGAAGTCTACGTCATTCTACGTCCAAGGTTAAGTGGTGGAATGCGACGGCGCCTGGCTGTAGGCCTCGTCTTTTCAATCTGGCCAAGTGTCAAGGGATTTTCTGAAATTGAAGCTGTATGAAATTTATGAAGCTGTGATAAGCTGTGGATTGGGCAAATGCAAAGGCTGTCTGAAGTTTTTTTAGTTTTTGACTCAGATTCACGATGACCTGAGACTGTGTTCGTTTGTGTTGGCACTGGCTACAGGCTGTGCTATGATTGCAAGACCTTCAGTCGTGATTCTGGATGAGCCAACCACCGGCCTTGATCCAGTGAGTCGGCGGGGAATTTGGGAGACGATTGGGGAAGTCACCCCGACATGTCTTTGAAGCAAAGGAACACCACACACCACTGAGCTTCATTAAGGAAATCGTTGATGATTGACAACCGGACATGTGAGCAGTTTTCTCAATCCCGCTGTTGCCTGAAGCTTTGGATGTTTGATGATGTTTGGCTCACTCTTGCAGTGGACGTCACATCATTTATACTACTACTCTGGCATATTGGCTCGACTCGCCGCGAAGCACCATCTCAACAATATTGCCCCAATCAGTGACTTTTTTGCAGACATTTGCAGTGTTGACTATGTTGGACGTGATTTGGGTGGCCGTTGTCCTTTCATGTCCTTTGCTCCTTGTTTTGGTTGTTGTGTGCTTCTGCTTTGTTTTCTTCTGTTGTGTAATGTTATGATATGCTACGTAATGCTATGCATTTGTTCTATGTCTACAACTACAACCTCTTCTTGTTCTTCCTGTAGTGAGGGTGGTGTCATTCCCTTCTTGTGGCTTCTTTGCTTTTGCATGTTCAATTTGCTGGCTGCCCTGTGGCTGTGTTGATTGCTCCTGCTGGAACAAGCAGGATCTCAAGTCAGTAGCGACAGGCTTGGAATCGGCTCCGAACGATTCCGTACGATGTTTGGTCGAAAACACATTTTGTTTTTTGTTTGCGCTCATGTGTTATAATTCCAATTGATGTCTTGCTGTTCTGCAGAGCGTGTTTTTTGTGCCTGGTTGGCATAAACTCCGTTGTCAATTCCTTGTGTTCTTGATGCACCCAAAAGAATCGACTGAGCTTTGGTTGTCATAAGAGGGGTGCCACCGTGCCACCAGATTTTTTTCGGGAATTTCCATTCATTTCCCCTGGCCTCACCAGACTCATCCAGAATTTCGATGCTTCAGGATCGTGCCTGAAGCTGCGTGAAGCTTGGCGGTGCTGCGTGGCGCTGCGTGGCCATGTCGTTGGAGCCGGCCTTCGCGCAGCTCGGGCAGCTCGCACCGCCCTCACCGGTACGCCCGCTCCTCCCGCATGCGACCACCGCGGCCACCAGCCGCAGACCGAGCTCGCAGAGCTCCAGTGTGAAGAGTGGTAGCTACCAGGCCTGGGCCAGGGGATAGGCGAAGGACGAAGGAGATATCGCAAGATGATCCCAAGATAATCTCATAGTTACTGTGACTATTTGTGACTGTTTGCGGGGACAGCAGCAGCATGAATTGAAGGTAGGAAGGGATGCCAGTAACACTTGGAATCATTGTTCAAGATATGTTCAGATCCATTTTGATTCCGCTGTCTTGCATAATCATGTTGTGCGTAGTCATTGCTGTTGCCCTCTCGCTACTGTCAGTTTCCCATAATGTGGGGTTCTGGCTTTGCTTTCTTTCTTCCCAAACAGTTACAAGGAATTTTCTGCCTCACTTTTCAGCATCCCTGGCTTCTTTTTCTGCCCTGCTACGAAATGCATTTACGAGAACAGCATATATAGGCAACAACAACTCGATTTAGCACCAGGTGAGCAGGCACATGACAGCGATAACAACAACGGAAAGAAGAGACACTCCTTCTAGCGCTCTAACTTATCGGTCTCCTGGCGGTCGCAGATTTGAACTGGTGCTTCAAATGCCAAACTCGCTCCATGCGTGCTGACATGCTCGCAAAATCTCGCAAATTTACGTTCTTTCATGTTTTGATATTTTTAAATGCAGAGAGTTAGACCGCACCGGCACCGATGTCTCTACACTTCATGGAGGGACAAACCGACTTTCGAGATACAAGCTCCTATTGCATTGACCATGTCCCTTTGGCTTTACCATTGCATGCCGCCTTCGATTTGCAACGTTTTTGTGGGTGAAAGCCACGGTTTCCCTCCTTGTGCAGTAGTTTTCTTCGGGCCTCACTTTTTTGAAGTTGCAGAAATTGGTTTGCTTTCACTGACATTTCAACAAATATCATGAGATTTCCGGTCAAGTTTCTTTTGAACAGTTTAAGACTATTCTATCCACATACCCATATATAATATCATATATACATGTTAACACACACACACAGACACATTTTCATATAATTACTGTGTATATATACGTATATATATAATATATATGTTTATTCAACAATTATACATATTATACATTCAAGGCAAAAAACCGTGATCCACTGGGTAAACCAACACCAGGCCGCTGCCCTCGCCACGGCCGCCTTGGTGCTTCGACGAAAACGCACCGCGGCCTCGACGGCGTCCACGGCGTCCACGGCGTCCACGGCGCTGCGGGCGGTGGAGCCGGAGGTGGTGGACACCGAGGAAGGTCCCGTGGCAGAAATGTCATGGAAAATCGAACGGAAAATCGGATGGAAATTGGAGGAGCAATTGGAAATGGATATGAAATGGAAAATTCATGGACAGTTCATTGAATATGTTTGAAATGGATGTTGATTGCCGCACTGATGTCAGAAAATGTTTGGGGAGCTGTGTTATATGTCTATAAAGTGGCGAGCCCCTCAGGTGATGTGAATCTGGATGGTTTCAGCTTCCCAGCTGCAGCCAGTCTGTGTTTGAACGATGCTGTTCGACCAACTGTTGGCTTTCCATGGCTTTCTTAGATAGTTCAAGGATGTTCAAGAAGAGTCAAGCTGAAGAGAATCTTCATTAGATGATCCGAGGTGACATGAGGCCCTATGGTGGCTATGCACAGCCACCTGCAAGGATTTTTGAAGGCACTGATGAAATTGACCTTTCGAAGAAGGAAGCGCGACCTGCCGGCTCCAGTGAGAAGGGCACATACTTCTGGAAAATGACGCAGGACAAGAGATTTATCGAAGCCACTCGACACGAATCCCAATCCCCATGAAATACCCCTCATGGGGATTCGAAAGGGACCCCAAAGCGAATAGGGCCAGAACAACAACCTGGGTTTCTGGGGGTGCTTTATATATCTTTATATAATTTATATACTCTTCATATTGGGGAAGAAAATTCCTCATGACCGCCGGATGTGGAGCATCCGCCAGGTGATCATCCCAGTGGATGACTCGGTGGAAGCCAAGGATGTGATCTACCGAATTGGCGAGGAACCAGAAGACCCCAATCGCGGACCCACCTTGGAGCTGGGCTATCGTTTCAAAGGCCTGTGAGATGTGACATGAGCCATGGTCAATACTCACTATATGGTTGATGGTCATCCCATCCACAATAAGCCCCTATTAATGGTTATTAACCATGAGTATTGACCATAGCTCACATGCTTTCAGATGCTTTCTGCACCCTTGACTTAACTTCTACAACTTTTTTCTTGCAACCCTGGGCTTGTCGCCCGCGACAGGCGAGGATGACAAAATGGAAGAGAATCTCATCATTGATGGGCAGATCCTCAATGCAGTGCGGAGGTTCCAGCTTTGAGCCTCTCCTTTCTACATGATTTCGCTCGATGGTCACAGAGAATGAACCTGCCAGGGAAGAATCCTTCTGGATCTTGGATGAGATGGTCGGCGTGAAGGCGGGCAAAGGTACAGAACTGTACAGAGAACATTTGCCCTCAGTGTTCTATGAGATCTATGAGGGGGGCACACAACGGGCACATACCACGTGCAATTCTGAGGTTATCATCCTCACGCTCTCTCGACCGCGAATGAGAAGGCACAGTAGCCACAGCAATTTCCGAATCGCGACCACTGGATTGACTGGATCAGACTGGATCCCAAGATATCCCAAGTTTCGAATGGGCAGGCAACGCCACGATCCCATTCTCCGGCGCAAGACTGAGGAGGACACTTTTTGCCTCTCTGAATCTGCGTAAAATCAATGGGCGCCTGACTTTAGTTATTTTTTGTGCCGTGCAGGAGAGAATAGAACCTCAAACCTGGGATGCTCTACTGGCAGCTTTGGCAGCACTTTGGGTCAGCATCGTTGAATCATCTAGGCTTACCCTGCCAATCATCAACCTCAGCAGACTGCCCAGGTGGAGGATAGAGAGAAGCCAAAGGTTACTCACAAGGTTTTCATGGACATTGAACTTGAAGGAAACCTGGCTGCGAATAGAGTAAAATCTGAGTAAAACGCCTTGGACCTTTTTTTTTTTCAAGCGACCGGTCCAGGCAAACCTGCAGGGAGGATGGAATTTGGGTTCCCTGGCGGAAATAGTTTAGGCGGCTGCTTGGAATTGATGCATGCGACAGACCGTGACTCATTGACATCATTTTCTTCGGATGTAGCCTCTAGACTCTAGACACAGATGAAGTGTTGCTGAGTGTTGAGTTGAGATCTGTGAAACTTGCCGCTGCCACTTTGGCTAGAGGACCTTTCAAACCAATTTGAGGGCCAGGGTATCTCAGCTCCTTGACAAAAGCGATGCTTCGAGGCTTCATTCATTGGGTAGTTCTTCTAGTGGCCACGGCAGATGTCTTGCCGCAGGATGATGAGTGCTTATCTGGGGAGTGTGCCCTGAATGCCCTTCAGAGCAAGGCAACCATCAGCAGTGCATGCCACACAGCCAAGCCTGGAGATGCTTGCTACAAAGACATCCAGTGGGCAAAGCATACAGGGATCAAGATGCATCCCCACTGGTATCCCGGGCTGAGCTCCCACTCCAGCGATGATGAATTTCAACAGATTGTTCACTCGCACAATCCTCAAAAATGTGCAGCTCCTTGTCCCAAAACCAAGAACACCAAGTGTCACACGGCTCTTCCAGGAGATTCCTGTTACAAGGATGTGATGTGGGCGAAGAACCACGGCATCCGAGAGCATCCCAACTGGTATCAATGCCTCAGCCCATCATCCACAGATGAAGAATTCCAGGCCGATATCCACGCGAAGCGCCCGGACAAGTGCCCCATGCCATGTGCCACGGCTGAAGAGCCCGAAGCTGTGAAACCTCCCGTGGTCCCAGACGTCATCCCAGTGGCACCTGAGGAGGAGTCAGAGCCTCCGGAGCCTCAGCCAGCGCCTCAGACTACGACAACAACTACAACGACAAGGGCACAAACCACTGAGGCACCTCACCAAGACCACGACAACAGCTACCAGAACTCTCCCTGCAACCAGCTCCACAACCAAAGGGAGCGCGAGGAATGCTTTCAGCAGGAGATTCGACGAGAACAGTTGGAACGAGAGCAACGTGAACGGGAGGAGCGTGAGCAAGAGCAACATAGGCAAGAGAACATGCCTTTGGATGAGAGGCAGCAAGAAATCATTGATGAGATTGGAGGTGTACCCACAGAGGATTCTCTTCCAGACTTTGACAGTTTTGACCCAGATCGATAGATGATGATTGATGACATCATAGAATGAGGGCTGCAGTTCATGGCGACAAGATGAATGTCGCTTGCGGCTGGACACCTGCTGCCTGGAGTTTTCTCTCTAGTCGAACTTTTGATCCGGCGGGATTGCTAGCCAACACATGTCCACAATCTCCTAGGATGTGACTGGCGACCGCCCGCGCACTGATAAAAAGATGAAAATCCTTAGTCGCTTGGTCTCGGGTGCATGCCGCACCATGCCGCACCATTGTTTGCATTGTTTGCATGATTTTGCATGTCAGCTTGGAAGTGAGAGCCAAGAGCCAAAGAGCCAGCCGTGCCAAGCGAATGGAATTCAGGCTTTTTGGAGATTTGCTGCCCAAGACCGTCGACAACTTCCGGGGGTTGTGCAATGGCACCTGGGCTTCAAGATGAAACTGCGAAAGGCATCGAAAGGCTGTATTTGTTGAAGACTGCGAGCAGCTTGCATTTCTGAGGTGAGTATACCGATGAAGAAGGATGGGACTTCTTTGGCTCCTGTGCATCATGAATATGCATGCAGCATGTGTGTCATGCCCCATGTCATGTGCACGAGTCGTGGGTTCATTTCATTGGCCATGTCGACAGGTAAGACAAAGGAAGCAGCTTTCTGCTACAAGTTGCTTGGTGACACTTCTGCCAGTTCTTTGGTCATGTTCCTCGTGAGTCGAATCTTGTTGCAACTTACCGCTACCCGAACCCTTGTTTCCTATTTCGAGCTGTGCTGGTGGAATTCGTCTCAGGGGATCAAAGTTCGCCCAGATCATGGGCCAGCACATCATTTCAGCAGGACTTTTAAGCTTATTATTTTTTAAAGGAGGGGGGGCATCCTTACACACAGAACCGTTTTGCCACCACTCAGACGGCAGGAAATGCTGGCAAAGACTTGGAGCTACTTGAGTATCTGAGCTGCAATAGGAAGCCTATTATTGCCGTATGACCGTCTGATTGAACCGCAATCAGCACTCGATTTGCTTCTGATTGCCGTGGTGAAGATCGAACCAAGTGATTGTTGATGTGAGCACCATGCATTCTCTTGGAGTGGACACCTGAGGTTTTCGCCCGAGGAACTTGAAGAGTTCTATGAGTTCTTCAAGGCATGGCGGCAATTAGCGCCACACATCTAGATTATGTCATTTTAAACGCACATAATTTCAGAGAAAATAGGAATCATTGGGATTTGGGATCAGTCACCCATGATGAAACGTTTGGGACAAAACGTCCGCGGCTTCCATTTCCAGGACTTTGAGGCGCAGCCTCGTGCCGTTGGCAAGGCCAAGGGGCCAATGGATGTTGGGAGGGGGCTCTGGACATGAACACTTGATCAGCCCTGAATCGGTCTGAATCAGCCCTTGATCAACATGCAACATGAGACTTAGATGATTTCAAGTATCCCTATGATCGCAGATATGACATGATATATATATATAAGATTATTAGATATGTCAGTCCCAGCAGTGAAAACTCCTAGGTGAAGAAGGGCTGGGTGGTTCGCTGGGGTGGAGACCTGGGCCTCGGTGAAGACATTTTTGGAACTCCACGAGAAGAGGGCCAGGCGAGGCTCAGGGTTCACTTCAGGCAGTTGCTGATGGTGGTGGGGTGGTGTTGGGTATCGCAAGGCTACTGATATCGACAGCCCTGACCTTGGAGCCTTGAAGAGGGGCAGGATTGAATCATATTGAATCCATGGAACAGCGGCAATTGCTCTGTGCTTCTTGTCTTCCCAGACATTGCAGACTCTTAGGCAATGGTGAACTCAAGCAAGTAGCTGAGATCATGGGAAAGCTTGTCGAGACCCTTGGCTTGGAATTGCAGGTGAGTCAATCAAACTCAGCTGCAGAAATATACATAGTTTACATATGGTTACATAGGATGAGCAGCCAGTGATTGGGTGGCCGGTTCCATGGCTCCTCCTGACACTGCAGGAAAGGAGAGGGTGCAAAGATGTGGTTCTACAAGCCTGAGTGGGAAAAGGGCTGCGATGTGAAGGGAGGAACTTTCCAGGATAGCACCTGTAGCCTTCCATTCTTTGCGTTGCTTCAGTCATTTCGCACTTGGACGGCCCTTGCCTTTTCGGGCGCGCTGGTGAGGCTGAGGGCTTCAAGGTTCCTCACATGAAGAAGGGAATGCTGACCATGGACCGGCACGAGACGCAGGAAACTCCGACCCTAGTGGCAAGATGTGGCAAGCTGGGTGGGAGTCTGGCAACTTTGCTGCGGTGTTGTCAGGACTATCAGGGCTCAGTGTTCTTCATCACTCTGAAGGACAGCCGTTCAGTTCATGGATTTTGGGGCGTGAGGGGCATGAATACAATATTATGATGCAATTCGAATAAAGTCACTATAAGTCGCACGAGAGCCGTTGACTGTTGGGAGCAGAACCCCTCCAAATCTCCAAGCCATGTTACAGTATAAACATGTATAAACTTCTGAGAGCATGTTCTATAAATGAATCACCTTCCCTGCATCGTGCCAGCTGAGGAGTTTCCACAAATGGACAACCGCTGGGTTTGCTTTGGCGAGATTTTGTCCGGCATGGAGCTTCTCGAAAAGATCGAAGACTGACTTAGGCCATCTTAGGTCATTTTAGGTCATCTTAGGTCATCTTAGGCCACCTTAGGTAGGTCATCTTAGGCCACCTTAGGTAGGTCATCTTAGGTCACCTTAGGTAGGTCATCTTAGGTCACCTTAGGTAGGTCATCTTAGGTCACCTTAGGTAGGTCATCTTAGGTCACCTTAGGTAGGTCATCTTAGGTCACCTTAGGTAGGTCATCTTAGGTCACCTTAGGTAGGTCATCTTAGGTCACCTTAGGTAGGCATCTTAGGTCTTAGGTAGGTCATCTTAGGTCACCTTAGGTAGGTCATCTTAGGTCACTTAGGTAGGTCATCTTAGGTCACCTTAGGTAGGTCATCTTAGGTCACCTTAGGTAGGTCATCTTAGGTCACCTTAAGTAGGTCATCTTAGGCCACCTTAGGTAGGTCATCTTAGGTCACCTTAGGTCACCTTAGGTAGGTCATCTTAGGTCACCTTAGGTAGGTCATCTTAGGTCACCTTAGGTAGGTCATCTTAGGTCACCTTAGGTAGGTCATTTTAGGTCACCTTAGGTCACCTTAGGTAGGTCATCTTAGGTCACCTTAGGTAGGTCATCTTAGGTCATCTTAGGTCACCTTAGGTCATCTTAGGTCACCTTAGGTCACCTTAGGTCATTTTAGGTCACCTTAGGTCACCTTAGGTAGGTCATCTTAGGTCACCTTAGGTAGGTCATCTTAGGTCACCTTAGGTAGGTCATTTTAGGTCACCTTAGGTCACCTTAGGTAGGTCATTTTAGGTCACCTTAGGTCACCTTAGGTCATCTTAGGTCATCTTAGGCCACCTTAGGTAGGTCATCTTAGGTCACCTTAGGTAGGTCATCTTAGGTCACCTTAGGTAGGTCATCTTAGGTCACCTTCGGTCATCTTAGGTCACCTTAGGTCACCTTAGGTCATCTTAGGTCATCTTAGGTCACTTTAGGTAGGTTATCTTAGGTCACCTTAGGTCATCTTAGGTCACCTTAGGTAGGTCATCTTAGGTCACCTTAGGTCACCTTAGGTCATCTTAGGTCATCTTAGGTCACCTTAGGTAGGTCATCTTAGGTAATCTTAGGTCATCTTAGGTCACCTTAGGTCATCTTAGGTCACCTTAGGTCATCTTAGGTCACCTTAGGTAGGTCATCTTAGGTCATCTTTGGTCACCTTAGGTCATCTTAGGTCACCTTAGGTAGGTCACCTTAGGTCACCTTAGGTCACCTTAGGTCACCTTAGGTCACCTTAGGTCACCTTAGGTCACCTTAGGTAGGTCACCTTAGGTCATCTTAGGTCACCTTAGGTAGGTCATCTTAGGTCATCTTTGGTCACCTTAGGTCATCTTAGGTCATCTTTGGTCACCTTAGGTCATCTTAGGTCACCTTAGGTCACCTTAGGTCACCTTAGGTCACCTTAGGTCATCTTAGGTCACCTTAGGTCACCTTAGGTCACCTTAGGTCACCTTAGGTCACCTTAGGTCACCTTAGGTCACCTTAGGTAGGTCACCTTAGGTCACCTTAGGTAGGTCACCTTAGGTCACCTTAGGTCACCTTAGGTCACCTTAGGTCACCTTAGGTCACCTTAGGTCACCTTAGGTCACCTTAGGTCACCTTAGGGCATCTTAGGGCATCTTAGGGCATTCGGGATCCATGGCGCCACAACGCGCAGCCTTGGAGGAGGAATACGAGGGCCGAGCAAAGATGGTCACCATCGCTGATTGTGGTGATCTCTCGCTTGAAGACTAGTGTGACCTTAGTGTAGTTCTCCACAGATCTCGCCGAGCAAAATGTTTGGGTCCGAGAAGTGGAACAGAACAATGTTCTTTGAAAGATCTTGACAGATCTTGAAACTTTTCCATACTGTGAGGCCAATGCGCCAGCAACAAGCCCTCACTGCTCCAGAAAAGAGTTTTAATCCATTTTAATCCATTTTAGTCCAAAGGCTTTACACATCTTTAAACCATGGGAAACTTGCGGTGCATGTGGTTACGAGTGATACCGGACGGCGCCAGGTCAAACAGGCTGGAGGCTGCTGCCTTTTGACCACCCACATGTCTCTTGGATTCGTCTTGGTGCTCGACATCGCTCGACATGCTCATGGCTTCGTCACAGACCAAGTGGTGTTTTGTTTGAAGCTAAGGCTTGAAGAAGCCGAACACCTGGCGAGCTATCTCGCCACCACCTTAGCAAACCTTGGAAGCTGGTGACCAAGTGGTGACATTTCAACGGGGATTTTGGTGTGCCCCTCAGATCATGGACCAAGGTTATTCTCAGAAGTGGCTTTGTTGCAGCCGAGGGCTCGGCCCCTTGGCTGAAATGCGGCGCACTGTGCACTGAAATCATATGAAATCATGAAAAACATGCTCCATGTAGTTCCCCATATGGTCCAGCATGGCCCACCACGGTCCACATTTTTGCTGAGGTCCAGGCTTTGAAAAACCAGTGGGGTCAAGGCTACATGCTGAGTGCCTTGGTCGCTGATTTTTCTATGTCGTTTGGTCCATGGAACCTTCGATGTCAACTGGAAATTTGCTGCATGCGCGTTGCAAAGCGAGGGTTGAAACGGCACTGCATTTCAAGGCATCGATAGTGAGAAAAACAAGGACGATGTACTTGCATGTGCTCGCTTTGTTGCCGGTGCGGGTATTCAAGTCCAGCAATGGAAGTCACGGAATCTGTGTCCAGGCAAACAACATCAAAGATGTAACCGTCTGAGGAGGGACAGTCCATTTAAGCCTCAGGAGACACAAGCCCAAGACTTCATCACATCACTATTGGACCCAGAAGATCAAACGCCTGTCAAGTCGCAGAGGTCTGGGATGCTGATTCTGAAGTTGTCGCTGTTTTTCAAGCCGACGTGAAAGTGGAGAACAGATCAATAGGTCATATCAAGAAAAAGGCCAAGAATTCTAAGTCTTGCGGCCTTGAGCGCCACCTACCAATTAGATTTGATCATATATATCATATAATCACACACACACATATATATAATTTTATAGTATCAATGCAACTGGGCCCAGGGACGGGCAGAAGACCTACAAGTTCTCAAAGGACGAGGAAGCTTTGGGCCATTTGATCATCAGCATCGCCCGCGGAAAGGCGAAGCATGGCATTCGTCACTGGGGAGTGTCGCAGGCATCCCTGGAGGATGCCTATGTCACTTGGCGCTGAGCTGCTGACGGGATGCCCTGGTGACATTCTGGTGACATCTTAAGGGGAGAGTCAGAGAGCCAAGGTGCGGATCATCCAGCAGGACTAGCTCTGACTTCTGAGAGATGCATCAAAATGCTAAGCTGCTCTGTTTATATATATTCTATATCATGATTATAATGTGTACATGCCTTGGCATGCCTTGATGCCAACTGGCATCCGGCATTGTTCCCGTCCATACTTCATACTTCTCTGTAGCTATCGCCGGTGCACACCACTCGCTCCGTTTCCCAGTGCATAGTGGCGTCGAGGTGAGCAAAAGGTGTCGAAAAACCGAAGCTGCTGTTTTCCAGGATGGGACGATGTGACATCGTCACCGTTTGTGTTAGGATGTGTTATGATATGTGTTATGCTTTCGATGCTCGGCAGTCCACATGAAGTGGCATCGATGTTTGACCTCGATGGGCTAAGGACTGGATCCCTGGCATCTTTTGCTGCGGTGAAATCGATGAAGTCAGAGGCGTGGTGAAGGGCAAATGGTCATGTCACATTGATGGGTTATGTGTTCTGTAGCAATCCTGAAACAACACTTGAGTCTGAAGTGGACTTGTGACTCTGTCAGGCCAGTGTACCTGAAGAGGAAGAGGAAGAGCAGCTCTACCCCTTCCTCACGAAGCTATGACAGCACTAGTTGAAATCCAGGAGTCATGAGTTACCCACCAGGATTTGGGATTTGAGTGCGGCCAGCACGATAGGCGTTAGCCGCAAACACCGCTAGGGTTTGCCCATGATGTTCTCAGGAAGCTGTGCGATGACCCTGCACTGCAGGGATGTCAACATCTCGGTGTTGTAAGATCAAGATCTGTGCCCGTGTTGTTTCTGAGTGCACCTGGAAAGATGCAAAGTCTGAGGCTGCAACTTCCCACTGGACCAAGACAAAGTGCACATTGGAAGCTCTGAAGGAAGTTGTGACATCATTCTCATGGGAGTGGGCATCACGCCGTGTCCTTACAGATCGCAGCTCTGCAAAAGCCTTTCATCGCATCCAGATTCGGTATGATTCAAGCAGCACAAACAGTGGAAGCTGCAAAAAATGCAGGTCAGAGATGTGCTCCGTGCAATGCGAAAAGGGTGAAGTATCTGTGGAGGCTGACTATTGACATGGCCCTGCTTTGATGGCACAGTTTCTTTTTCCATGACAGCCTCGACGAATTCATTGGAGCAACAAAGGTATTGAAGGATGAGGGCGGAAGCACTGTCCGGGTCCTCCTCAATGGCAAGATGTTGCGGCGTGTTGCCCAGCTTTGACAGACTCCGTCAGCAGACTTTTGTTGTAAAGTGGGGGGCGTCCATGGGTTTTCCAAAGAACAATTGCATCATTCCGCATGCCGCATGTTGGACAAGGCCAGAGAATCCGGAGCAGATGAAGCATGGAGATTGCTACGGCCTTGATTTTGTTTCCTCACCGGTTTTCTTCCTTTTCGACGCCTTTTTGAAGCCAAGCTCACTGAACAAGTTAGCTTGAAACTAGCTGGGCTGGGCGATTGGAAATGGAATGAAATTGGTCGAGTCTTGTTCCATCCTTTTACAGCTTTGGTCATTGCCATTTCGTTTGACCATCCAACTTTGATGAACGAACCATCCAGAGAACGATGTCTATTCAAGGTCTCATCCTGGGATATTCTCATGCATTCCGTTTGGTGGCCTGGAGCTCAGTGTCCAGATCCAGCATCGACCAAAATCGACGGGACCTTTGAGGTTACGATAAGATGAATCCGCGATTTCGTTGGTGATAGGATCCCACAGTTTTGCAAGACGTGCAGTTTGAAGGAACCAACGCCAGAGCGTGTGAAGCAAGCTGGATCATCGGAGGTCGGACTCTCACAGCATGTGAAGCACACATCAGAACTGTTCAGTCAGTTTGACTCACCCAAGATAATTTATATAAGATCATTCGAATCTGTTTGCCAAATATTTTCTCGTGTTCCAGCATAATTCGCGAATTTCGCCATAATTGGCCCAGAGTTGATCATCATCATAGTATGTATTGCTGCGATTTGCCGCTTCCGCCCAGTACCTTCAAGTGGCCCGCAGTACGGTTCAGGGCTTAGTGGTGGAAGCCGTTGGAACGCGTTGGAAGCCCTTGGAAGCCCTTGGAAGCTGCTGGACCCAGCGGTTGCAGCCAGGTGCCGAAACTGGACGTTGCTTCAGCCTTTGAGGAGGCGGTGTGCGTGGAAGGCAAGCAGCTGGAGGCTGGGAACATCGAACTGGTGTCACTGGGGTCAATTCCAGTGGTCAAGGGATGTCTGGAGCACAAGTTGCATCAAGTTGCCTGGGGCATGGGAAAGTCCACTTTCTATTGATTTGTTGTGGTTGACAGTGGTTGATGCTTTTGATTCTTCTTTTAAGTTTGCAAACAGCATGTGGTGGCATATTCCGATTCTTCATTGCAGGACTCAGGAGACAGGGCCACATCCTGAGTGGCTTTTGTGGAGGGATGTCCATGGATGTCCTACATAGGTAGATAGATAGATAGATAGATAATAGGATAGGATAGGATAGGATAGGAGGGGATAGGATAGGATAGGATAGGATAGGAGGGGATAGGATAGGATAGGATAGGATAAGATAAGAAAGATAGATAGATAGATAGAAATAAAAGTGTTTCAGCTTCGGACGTTCCATTTTTTGGATGCTTTTCTTGATGTCCATCTCCGGCCATGCTGTTCTTTCTGGAAACAGAGTGTCAGCCATGTTTCAGCTTCTGAGGTCAGTGCATTTCCTTTCATCAGCAATCTCAGCAACAGAGCCTCAGATGGTACAGTGCGAAGCTTCCTCAGTGCTTTGTCCGGAGCTGAGGAGCAGCTGTTTGGCACGTCTAAAAGAGCAAACAACGGCATCTTTAAACCATTTCATACGGGTGGGATGTGGACATTTGTTGAACCATGTTGAACCACTATATGCTTGGATGATCCGATTGGATGCAACTGTTCTGTGTGTTTGCCTTGCATCCATTTGCTTACATTCCTTGCACATGCGCAGGCATCACGTGCACCCCTTGGTGGAAGAAGCAAACGTCATCACAAGGGAGGTGCCGGACGACAAGCTAGGGCTTCGACAACTTCGTTTGGAATGTCATGATCCTTGACTCTTTAGAAGCGAAAAATGGCTGTCCAAAAAAGAGGGCCAGAGGATGACACGTGTTTCCCTGGTGTAGTGGAAAAGTGTCAGGTTTCGGGTGCCCTCCATTCAAATCAGAGTCCGATTTCTGCTGTTTGGATCTGTTTGGTGCCACCCATGTTGACAGGTCTTTGGTAACTCCGATCTGCATCTGGAGCGCATGCATGGTGAAGATCAGACGAATCTGTGTAAGCAATCGAAAGTAGCCAGTCAACTGAAAGCAAAGTATTGGAGGTTGGTTGGATGCGAGCTTTGAGATCACTCATGCAACAAGGGAATGCCTTCACTTTTTATTTCTAGATCGTGTAGGTGTTGGTGCATTCAGTGCATGCTGCATGGGTCTGTCAAAACCTGCATGGGTCTGTTGAACTTTGGATGCAGGAGATTCACACACTCACAGACGTGCTTGACTTCCAGAATGCCGCCGGCTTTAGAAAAAAAACGATGTACATTTTCCGGCAGAATGCGCGTGCCGAAATTTGCTTGGGGAGCTTGTGAAGTGCATTGAGCGCCACCGAGGATGCACCTGAGATTGTGATCTGCTGCCTTGAGCCACTGTCTCAGATCGGATGACAGAAGATGAAGGGGAAAGACGTTTGAAAGAGCATGATGTTTAGGGATTACCTGTGCTGCAAGTACGATTGATTGGTGGTCCTTGCTAGATGCGAGGGCTGTTGCCAAATCTGAGGAAGCCATCGCCACTCTCGCGCTTCCAACAGACAGTCAACACTGCCAGGGACTTTGGGACCCCCATGTGCTGCCGCGACAAGGGTCTCCAATCACCGGTGTCAGTGCTACGATCGTAGGATATCTTAGAAACATTTGAAAAGACATGTCAGAAGGCAATTGTTTTGTCATCTTGAGGTTCAACAATGCTTGCGCGATCCCAATGCTCCCACATCCTCTCAAGATCTTGCTGATAAGCAGATACCTCAGATCCTTAGTCACTTCAGTGCTTTCAGTCGGACTCTTGGGATTCCATAACTATCATAACTGAGGCGTTGGATGCTTGGACGTGCAAAGCATCCCTTGGCCCATGCCATGGGACTTGACGAGTGCACTCCTAAGTCACTTCGAGTGATGAGGGTATTCGATCAGCTGGTTGACAATCCATGACAATCCTGCATCTGTTCAAATTGGAGCCACGTTTTTGCTGCCCCTGGAAATGTTCAAACCAGCCAACGACCTGCCTGAGGCATATGACAATTCGAGGGCACGGCCATTTGCTCTCGATTTTCTCCTTGGAAGATTTCTTGCCACATCCTCAGGTTCTCGCTGCCCTGCACACATTTTCTGAGGAACAGTTGCCACATAGCATTCACTTGCAGCTACAGCATGTCCTATCCAAGGCAACGATTGAGTGAGATCAGAGACCTTTACCAGGCAAGTTGGACGTGTACGGCTTGAGTACCTCTAATTGAGGCAGATTGAGGATGACTATGGATGACTATGGATGACTAAGGGTCTTCTGTTTGGCGGCCATGGCGGCGGCGGCCATGGCGGCCATGTCATTGGAGTTCGTCCTGGGTCACTTCGAGCCGCCAGGACGCCTGCGAGACAGGGGAAGGCTTCGAAGCCATGCGATCCAATTTGGTGCGAAGCCTCAGCTGAAAGATGGACTGCCACCACCTAGCTGACGGATGATTGATGATATTGAATGATATTGATGGATGCCTGGATGCCTCCCAGTTGATCCAAGCTTTTGTCAATCTGATCCCAGTTGAGGCTGCACATCCCTTCCAAAACCCATGGCACCAGAGCAGCTTCACGCACATGAAAGTCCTGGCAGATGAAGCCGCATCAATCAGGTGGGGATTTTCACTTTTCAATCTGGGCTGTGACAGCAGCTGTGACAAGCAATCCCTGCAGGACAAGCCCCTTGCTGCGATGGTTGCTGCGGAGCCCACCAAAGGCACCAATTCAACAAGCTCCTCCACCAGGCATCGCGGTTTTCCATTTTCCATCTCGTCTCCATGGTTCAACTGACGAGTCTACTAAGATCTACCAAGCCGAAGCCTGTTGGAAAGTAGCACTTCCTCATACTTCCTCACTTTGCGAGAGGTTTAGCACCGAACAGTTTTCCTGACACAGTCTCCAGTTCAGAGTAGTTCAGCCCCCAGAGATTCACAGAGCTTTTGGTGTCAGGTGCAAGTCTCGGAACGACCATTGCACAGGCCCGGTGTGGCCCCGGTGCTGTTGTGTACACTGTGCAGGGGAACAGACTGCAGTTATTCCACATGCCAGGCACCAATGAATACTACGGTGGATCTCAAGCGCAGGTGCCATGCTTTGGAATGGGAAGGCATGGCTTTTGGATCTTTTGGATGTGATTGAAGCTGCTAATGGCATTGGCATTTGTGGCCTTCATTGGCCAACCATTCATTCATTCATTCTCTCTCTCTCTCACGCATATATATATATTATATTTATATATATATATATTATTTATATATATATAATTTATAATATTTATAATATAATAAAAAAATATACGTTTGGATGCACATAAATTATGATATCGAAGCCGAGGCCATCGGTGGCGGAGTCGGTCCAATCGGCCAACAGTTCGGGTCATCTTTTCCCCGTGGAGATCCGTCAGTCACAGATGTCACAGCAGGCGCCAGCAGTTGACGTGTTGAAAGTGGCTGTTGGTTGATGATACGGGGGCTATACCAGCCAGTATATGTCTGTATGTACGTCTGTATATATATAATATGTGTGACTGTGTGTGTGTGTGCACTGTAATATATCTTATATTAGGGATTAGCACCATCCATTATTATGGGAATACCCAACGGGTCCTGTGAGTGCGCAGGAAAAACCAACACCGCGCACAAACCCTACTAGCATCTTCGAGGTTGGGAACTGTTGAGAAACTGCTTGACAGGTCCGAATTTGTTCAGATGTGTTCAGCATGGCCCAAGCTGCAGGTTGACAACAGCCCTATTCCGAGCCTGGGTTCTTACTTGCAACTTGGCTGTGAAGACGCTAGGGGCAGCGTCCCCAAAGCGTCAGCGTGTTACATATCAGCTTCAAAGTGAACGCAAATACCTGAAGTAGCCATCCAATATCCATCCATTCTGTCCCAACTATGGTGGATGAAGAGGGCGGCACAAGCATCCTGCATCATCTATGAGTGTATAGGACTGTACCATCTTCCTATGATACATCCATCATGCATATTAAACTCACCAAGCAACCACCTACAATACATATATATATATATATTATACACATATATATATAATATATATATATATATTCGCAATACCAGATTATCAAGCTATATCATTTTACATCATACTATATAGCATATATAAACCCATATGCATCAGTTCCAGGAAGACGCTGATCACCGACATGTCCTCGGCCGACATTCTGCTTGCGGTCATGGAGCCCGGAGAAGGCCCATCCAACAATTGAACTTTGCGCCTTGTTGCTTACCGCTATGCCACCGCTATGCTGCTCAGCATGGCTGCAAATAAATCACAAGATGAACTATGCTTGCGAGATTGCCATTCCAACGAGCTGAAAGTAGTCCTGCACAGGCCAAGAATCTACACTCGTTCATGCCCACAGCATTGTATTGTCACGGTGGCAGTCTCAGCTGGTGGAGTTGCTCCTGCAGGCAGTGTGATTGGCATTGGAACACAGCGCAACATCCCAAGGCTGCCATTCTTCCGCCGATTGATTGCTGAAACTTGGGCTGGCAAGCAGATGGATGGTGATCTCTTAAGGCTCCTCAATGGCCAGCCGCCATGTGCGGCGCACCCCTTGACCCTAAGGACCACAAGGCGATCGGAAAGTCTCCAATCATTGCCAGCCGCTGAGCAACTGACCTGATCCTTTGACACTGTGACCATTGGTTAATTTGGTTACAGTGCTGCTATTGATGCTATTGCTAGGTCCCACATGCCTTGTCTGTGTGCATTCTGCGTCAACTTTTGGTCTACGCCTACACAGATAGCGTGCCAAGCTAAGATCTGCTGGCTGTGTATTATGTCATAATATGTTCTCTTGGCAGTATTCGGCAGTGGTGTTTATGAACCCAATCTTCAGGTCAAAGAGGCAACAGCAAATCTTTCACCCAACATGCTACGTCAATTGCAAAAGGCGGGCCGGGCCTTGAGTCAATTGATCCTGTTGGTCCCGGGTTTGCTGTGGATGAGGAAATTCGGACCATGGTGTAGGGCTGCGTACCAGTTTCTTTTGTGGGAGCAGCATCATGGTATCAGTTGTATGATTCCAGTTCTCGGCGATTATGGATGATGATGCAATTTGATTCTCAGGCAATGGTGTTCGATTCATTTTTGGCTTTCCCATGGTTACAACCATCTTAGTTTTGCCATCCTAGTATTTGCGTCTTGCGAGTGGCTGCTCACTATTCTCAATCTGCGTCTAGGCTGCCTCTAACTGCAGCATGCCAGATTTGTGCAAGGTGGGGGAGCAGATCAGGTCTTCATTGGTTCAGCCACTATCAACGGTTGGATTTGAAGATTCGCTTTTCACGGAAGCTATGCAGCTATGTTTTTTATCCAAACAATAGCTGTTTCCTTCACATTTTCCCTTAAACCAAGGTCGAGATTCACGAGCAAGGTTTGTTATTTTGATCAACTGGACCAATCCCAAAGTTGGATGTGATAAAAGAAATATACAAAGATATGATAAGATATGATTATATATATATATATATTATAATACATATTAATATATATATATATATGTGATGAAGATACATAAAGTCCAAAACAAAGCCTGGTGCCCAAGGCCTGCATGATCAAGTTGAGCGGCCAAGAATCCGCCTCGGAGAGCTCATCCGCTAAAGCTCCGGGTGGAGGTCATGGCACGGCATGCGGTGCAGTTCCCGTTGATTTTTCCAACGGGCTTGGGAAGATTTGAAGATTCACCGTTGAAAACATTTGAAACCCCCTCAACATGGGGTTTTCCTGCACAATTTGCTTTCATCCTGGGACATTCAAATTGCTATCGAACGGTTCAGTCCTCCATCTCCATCATCATCATCATCATCATCATCATCATCGTCATCATCGTCATCATCATCGTCGTCATCGTCATCATCGTCATGATGATCATGCTTTTTGAACGCTGAGCTGCTGATCAGTTTGGTTTGGTCCCAACTCGTAGTGACAGATCTCTCGTCTGGTGCACGTTGGTGACAGGCCCAACGAGCCCAACAGTCCGCCGCCGTATTTCGAGGGGGTCTTCGCTCAACCAGGTGCCCCAAGCCATGCCAAGCCATGCCAAGCCATGCCAAACCATGCCAAGCTGAAGGGTTCAAGATCCGAAGATCCGAAGATCCGATGATCTTGGATGATCTTGGGCAGAGACGCATTTTTTTCCAGTGGTTTGTCGTTTGAGGCTCGTATGGACCGTGGATCCTCTGATCGCAATTTGCCTGTGCTGCTCAGTAAGAAGTCAGGACCTCAGAAATTGATGCTGAGATGTGCTGATCACCAGGGCTGCACAGCCACTGCTCATCAGGTCGTCACTGAGTGACAGCTCACCGGGAGGAAGCCTCAAGCTGAAGCAGCATTCGAGTAAGCACTTTGAACCACTGAAGGCGTGACTCTCAGGACTTCAGACATCGACAAGGGATTCCACAGTGGCACAGGACCAGAAAGGACATGAAAGGACCATAAAGGACCTAGGAAAATGCAGTCCTGCAGGCTAGAATCTAGAAAGAATGTAATGGCGGCTTTAGCCTTGTTGGCTTCCATGCCCATTTGTCCAGTGCATTGTATGCCTAATTTACATCGCCAAAACACTACATTTAATCTTTGGGTGTTCCGCTGGATTCCGCCGGCAAGTTTCACACCTGAGGCTGTTGGGGGAAATTCAGATGCTGGAAGTTCTGGTCGTTTGATCTGTGGCAAACTCAGTTGCCAGGTGACAGTGGCACACTGGGAGCTCTAGAATGCTCTGGATATATGACGTACATTGAGATCATTGAGTCGTTTGAGGTATGGAATCGGGTTCCAGCATGAGTTCATCTCCGGTGGATGGAAGGCCCCTGTCCCTTGAAACTGCGTCGGCTGAGTCACTTAGCCATGCACCCGTTAAGCCCGGTGACAGCCCAGGGACGCTGGTGATGAGCACCACCGCCAGCAGAGTGCAGTTCGACTCAGTGCCTTGCTGCAACCGAGGTCAGGACACCTGACAATAGACGTTTGATGATCAACTCATAAGTAGATTACACCCAAGTATGTGTATATATATATAATATATATATACATATAATATATAATATACATGTTGTGTGTGTGTATACGCATGTTCACTTATTATCAAGTATGACCGTAGTATGACCAAAGAATTAAACATACCGAAAGATCCATGGAACTTCCGAAAGCCGCGTCTTCCGAGGCTCCGGAAGCCTGAGGGCCTTTGCCGAGGAGATGGCCGAGCTGCGGCGCTTACTCTTGACACATCCCAGGGGCAATGGACAAGAAATCCCCAAGAAGGCCACTGAACTGCTGCGTGGCTTAAAACAGGGCCATGACTGCCATGTAGCAAGATGTGGCAACTGCTGATATAAAAAGGGTTTGAACACATTGCGGGGCCGCCTCTGTGGTTTTGAATGTATTCAGACGATTTTCTGAATGGTTGGTGTTGGTTCCAACCGTTTCCTTGACTTATCTTGACTTCCTTGGCCCTTTTTGAGCCCGTTTATGTATATAAGTTCTCCCAAAATGTTGATGCCAACTGGTGAAAATTTGGAAGAAACGATTGCTGACCAAGGCTGGAGGACTTGCAGTCGAGCATGATGGAGACCATTCGTTCTGAGTTTAGGGGATGCCTGAAGGAAGCGCAAGACAAGGGCGAACCATCTGGATCATTGTCATCTTTGGCATCGGGCATCACTTGTCAGATCCACAACTTGCGAGATGTCGGCTCCTTATTTGGCTGACAGCCGAGCTTAAACATTATAGGACACACGGAATTTCTTTGAATTCGGGAGTGATTGACATATCCAGTCAGGAGGAATGGAATAAAACTTTGTGCGGAGGTCCTTTTGCAATCTGCGAACTGAGGATCTGATTTCCATGTTGAACACCACAGATGGCCGCGTGCCCTCCACTAGCCCCACCCGCAGTGCAGTGCACGTCCGTGAGGAGTCCCCTGTGAACTCAGTGGTCCCGGCCCCCGGGGCCCCCGGGGTGCAGCCTGTGCCCCTGCGCCTGACGCCGCCGAACCTCAGCGCAGAGCCGGTGGTGCATGCGGCGCAATTTGATCGCCAAGCAGCGACGCCACCGCTGGCACCCAGGCCATTGACGTCAGTGCTGGCAGGGACACCGGGAGCTCCAGGAGCTCCAGGGCGTTTGGGCAAACCCTTTCAACGACTGGTGGTCCATGCTTCTACTGGCCAGCTCCCGGGACAGGTGCCTTGAAATGGAAGATACATGAAGATACTACAGATGGATTTAGGGGCTGCAGACTGTCAGCTCACTTGAATCCAGCTTGTTAGTTGATTTTGCATCTATTGATATATATATATATATATCACATTTTTGTCATATGGTGCAACTCAGGTTGCGCGTTCAACGTCGCCAAACTCAAGCCCTTGCCACTATGCGGTGCCCGGCTTCCCCCAGTCGAGGCCACAGACAAGGTCTGTCTCTCCAATTCCAAGCAACTCGATTTGGCATGCAAATGGGATGAGTGGAGCAAGAAGACCAGGCGCCAGCGGGAGTCATACTACAGAATTCCAAGGGAGTTGATAGCGGGCAAGTCTACAAAAGGCAAACTCAAAGAGTTTCCAGCGAGTTTCGGTGTTTGTGTGCCCATTCTGGTTTGATTTCGAATGCCTATCAAACAGCCCCTGTGCCATGCCCCTGACCGTGGCAGGATGGGGCACAGCTCCAGGGCCCACTGTGTCTGTGAGATTCAACCGAAGCCCCCGCCCTATTGGGTGGAGGCCCAAGACGCGGGAAAGATTCTCAAAGACTTGCGTGATCCATTTCATATCACACATCCGAGAATTAGTTTCAGGCAAACTTCAGAGAGCCTCGTGTTTTTTGGGGGAAGCACACTGGTTTGGCACACTGATCCTTTACACAAGGCCGATGAAGCATGGTTCAAGCAATTGTTCAAGAAGCCCAGGTCATCTGGCGCCTCGACCATAACAACCAATCGGTCTTGGCACAATCTGCAGGACTGGATTTTGGTGATGAGACGCTTATGTAACTGAAAGATACTGAAAGCCTGCTTCAGATTAAACATATGGATCATATGGATATTAAATGATATCATATGAAATCACGTATACGCTTTTGTCTTTGCCCAGGAGCCTGTCACCGCCCATCCAAAGCCATCAATGACTGGACAACCAGAGGCCTGGCACTGTCAGACTCAACATGACTCAACGATGTCTAGGAAGATTTTCCATGGCGGTCATGGTGCACCATTTCTTGGCTGCAAGTCGTTCACTTTCAGATAATTTCAGGTGGAAACCGCCAAGGCAGCGAACAAGGAAAAGGCTCCAGTGGAGACCCTCCGCTTGCACCCTGGCACAAGATGGAACACGTGGTACCGGTATACCATGGCATAGGAAATCCATGGAAGATGATGGAAGTAGAAGATATCGTTGCTCCTGTCCTATACCCGAGACGTGTCAGAGTGCCCCTCTTTTGCCAGGTAGACCAGAGCGTCCTGTGGTGGTTCCTGAGGAGTTCAAATATCGAGACTGAGGCAAAAAAAATCCCTGCATCCCCAAAGTCTTGGCACAGTACTACAGTATAGAAATGTATAGAATCTTCGAATAGCCAATATCTTGGCAGTGCTAAATGTCACACTTCCGTACGTTTGCCTTACCAAAGCATTCCAAAGCTGTCCGATCAGAAATTGCAGGGTACCAAGGTGAAGTCACGTAGGCTCACGTAGGCTTTTGTGAGAGTGAATTAGGGAAAACGGGCAAACTGCAAGTGGTGCTACTATGAGTCTCATTGTCAAGACAAAACACACCATGAACGATCCTTCAAGATCAATCACATATTTAAATATTTCATCTCTCGTCTGTAAATCTTGTGTTAGCGCGTTTGTCGTTGTTTCTCGTTGTAGTTTTGCGCTGCATCTCACTGATTAGCTCCCCCCCGACTCGCTCTCACTCTTTTCTGAAGACATCGACCAAATCATCAAATCATCGACTTTGTGTTGAATTCATGGGCCTGGTGCCATGGCCGAGTTTGCAAGCAAAGCCTGCATCCTGGGGTCATGCCGCTTTGGTCGCTATCTCACTCAACACAGAGGGCCAACACTTCGGCAAGCAGAAAATTCCAAAATCATCCCAGCACCTAGACATCCACACATTTTACATCATTTTACTCACTTTGACAATCTTTGACAGCATTCAGAATTCTGGAAACAAAATTTTTTCGTTCTTCTAAAGTCTCCTCTTGGTTCACTGAAATCAATTCTTGGTCATCTGTGTTTGGTCACCGTAGGCCTGTAGGTGTTCCGGACTGCCTCTCGCACTGCTTTTACTGCGGCTGGTACAAAGCCAGCACGCAATGCGTTTCCTGATCAGTCCAACAAGGGACTAAACTGACAAAACTTGCAGAGCAAGTTGTCGCGACAAAAGAGCTGGACAAGGCTGTTCCATTTGTTCCCTGGGATGATCTTGATGATCTTGGATGCGCTACGTTGCTGATCAACGACCAAGATTCGTTACCTACTCGAAATGCAATGTTTGATATGTTGCCATTGGGCTCAGAGTGTCAATTCAGGTTGTGATACTTTGCTTAAGAGAGTTCTGATGCACTTCATGCAGAAGCTACAACATCTACAACGCCAAAAGAGGTCTTGTTGTGTTCAAACAGTAAAGGTTTTCAGGAAGCGTTGAGAACCTGACTGCCATTTACTTAGCCGGCGAGAGGCAGCTGATACAAGGACGCCCCAGCCCCTGCCGGTACTTTGCTTTTTAAGGGTTGAGAAGTTTGAACTGTTGCGAATTGTTCTTTTACAGGTGTTTGCCGTAGTGACTGAGGCAAAGTCATGGCAGTGCCAGGAGCGGCTCTGAGACTAGAACTGAGCCTGCTGTTTCGATGTCCTTCATGAGGGGTCACTAGCAAGATCCTCCTTTTTCATACGGCTTCCTTGTGAGGTGGGTCTAAGTCAGGTGGTTCAAAGAGGCGCTTTGCAATGTGTCATGAGACACACTGTCGGTCAAACTGCTGGAATTATCCTGACATGGTACTGCACAGTACAGGTCAGAAGAAAGGAAAGCACGGAAATATGCGGAAGAAGGTGCTCAGTGCATTTCACAAAATGAACAACATGTGCCTCTTAGTGACAGATAGAGAGAGGCCTTTCCCTCGAAGCTGTATTGTGGGCAGTCTCCAGCACAAGCAACATCAGCTGGCCGCCCCATAGCCCTGGGTAACACATGTTCTTTGAACTTGTGCATGCGTTGAGTTCTTCGAAGCTTTCGAAGGAGTGCGGATGTACCAGATGGGCCGAAATCGCTTTGAGCCGAAACTTCTTCTGCGAGCCAAGGACTTGGCACTCCGGATGACTCAGTATGACCTCATGATGACCTCATGATGACCTCATGGTGACCTCATGATGACCTCTTGTCACCCTTGGCCCTTCGCAGCCCTTCGCAGCCGCGGCTGCCCTGTGGCAGGAGCTCTTGGCAGCCTCTGTAGCTCTACACCCATCGCAAGAGTCTGAGAGAAAGTCGAGATCAAAACCAGGACAACGTCAAAGCATGTCAAAGCATGTCAAAGCTACCAATGTCAAAACTATGCAAAAGAAGTCAAAAGAATGGGGAACAAGCGTTTAACCTGAAGAACCACAGGTCTGCTGACTGTAGGTCCTCATCTGCAACCACTTTCGTCCTCTATCCTGGTTCTTGGGTCCTTCCCATTACAGTGCTCCAACCTCCCAAAAAGAACATCTAATTTGTCAGATATCTATAATCTGATCCTCATTCTCATCCTCCTCATCGCCATCATCACTACCATCACCGTCATCACCATCATTCATGCCATCATTAACATCATCGCCATCAAAAACAGCCGTGCCGTCACATGCAGTCATCACGCTGCTACTGCAGCTGTTAAGCTGCGACAGGCAAACGCCACTCTTGATGAAATTGCTGTTGCAAAGCACAAACAAGCCCACATTAGTTTCACTATGTTTCACTAGTTGTCATGGTTTGAAAGCACAGGGGGCACTACATATACCTTGGAGGACTTGTAAGCCCATACGACATTCTACGATGACACATGACATAACCCCCAAGAGAAGTCTGCAGTTTCAGAAGTTCCCACCTGGATCATCCAACCCCGGACACACAATGCGGAAGTTGCTCGGCTGGTGGTGCTCCCTCCCCAATTCCCCTTCTGCAATGGTAGTTGATGCCATGGGGATGCTCATCGACACCACACCCATAGGCATAGACGGCATAGACGGCATAGACATGAAAAAACCCAGCACCTTTTTGATCCCATCATATCCCATCCCTATCCAGAGGCTCCTTGAGCGTAAAGCCTGCAAAGGGGCTGCTTCTCAAATCTTTCAGTGCACGAGAGGATCCAGGTTGCAGGGAAATTCATAAAACTGATTTAACATGTAGATTTATGTAGATTTTTTTTTTTAAAGGTGTAGTTTGCTTTGATTCTCATGCCTAAATTGAAAGTCTTGCGTTTGACATCAGGGCGGCTAGCTTCTTCTACTTGGGGAATACGCCATGCGCTCAGGGCGTCATTGCCAAGACGAAGGGGAGATGTGTTCCAATGAAGGGATTCACCGCCAGGTTGAACCTACTTGCAAGACCAAAAACAGCTACCCGTGCATACCTGGAGTGTCTTCGCAGATCCCTCAGATTTTTGCTCGGGAAAACCCCAAGCTGATGTTTGAAGTTGTGATGACCCAGATGAACATCATGAACTTGCAACAGTGAATAAATCATATAACTTGTTGATCGTGTTGCGTTGGAGGCTTCCTGGCTCAGCTCCCTCAATGGCAAACATGGAAGGGACATGAAGAGGGCAGGAAGTGTGAGATTAAGACTGCAAAGGAATACAGCTACAAAAGGATCGGATATTATTATCGACAAAGTGAGGCATCCAGTGAATATGGAGAAATCACCACTACTTCAACTACTTCTATAGTATTTGTCAATTGGCAACAACTTAACGTGCAAGGCCCCTTGCACCTCCGTCATGGCAGACACAAACCCTGTGGGCACTGAGCACATCAGAACGAAGCTGTGCAAGATAGAGGTGCCTCAGGTGGTGCTGGGCAAAGATGACTGCGATGCATCCCTGCCGGTGCCAACGCCTGGCACATGGGCAGAATGCTGTCGTCTACCACAACCGCAAAGGCGCTTGACATTTTCAGTGCCGATGGGTAGTGAGGAGGGATGTATCCTGAGCATTCCTTTGCAAGATGGCCAGCTTTCGAAGGAGCTGCCCCGTGGCTTGTCCGGAGGTGACACGGCCCTGGCAGTACAACGCCCTGATGGTCACTGGCGTGTCCTCCGCAAACCAAACTACTTTGCTTTCCTGATGCCTTCCGGGGCGACGGCAGGGAAGGCGTTGAAACAACAACTGCCAGATGGCACCATTTTGCACTTTGAGGTGCCTGAAGGTGTTAGGCCGGGGCACCTGGTGGAGCTGCAAAGTTCTGGTAGCTCCTGGCAGTTGAAGCAAGTGGTTGAACTCACAGAAGTCCAACGCATCCCAGCCCAAACATCCACCATCCGTGGACCCTTCCTGGCTGCCTTGGAGTTTTTGCGACAAGGAACCCAGGGCCTGAACCAGGTGCAACCCGATGCTGATGGCATGTTGGTGGTGAATGTTCCCTTTTGTGGCCGTTTCCAGGAGTACGCCATGCTGGGAAACTTCTTGGCTGAGCATTGCCTCACTTTGCCTGGCATCAAGGGCGTGAGGATATTTGCAGCAGACAGCTCCGACTCCTACTACTATGAGTGGGCAGTTGCCAAGAGATGGTTTGCAGAGTTTCATCCCGAAATTGAGGTTCACTTGCAGGTGCAAGATCTACAGATGGACCCTTTGCCCAAGGCAGGACTCACAATTGCCTTGCATCCAGAGGTGACTAGAGGAGGCTCCTGGTTTCAGATTATGGGATCAGTGATTAAGGCCTCACAGGGAGGAGTCTGTTTGTTTGCAGTTTTCTTCCAAGACGAAGTGTCAACCCTCATGAACATGATGGACATGTATGACGAGACATGTCGAGAAAAGCAGCTCGTTGAGAATGTCCACTGGAAAGACCAAGTAGTCAATGGGGCCACGCCGCCCTCGAAACGAATGAATTTCCTAGTGCTCGTAAAACCTTCGAAGCAACATCTTGCGAAGGTGGAAACATCGCTTTTCCAAAGGTTAGGGCAGCTATTGACCAGCATTTGCCGTCCCAAATGACGCCTCTCGAGTTCAAGAGGTGGCGTAGTTTTCCGCAGAACTGCGAATGCGCGTGATTTGGAGCTGGCAAACAAAGGGAGCACCAGGAAGTCCAGATGGTTAGGGAAGGACAGTGCAGACCCCAAGCTGACCGCAGTTTTGCCGAGGTTTGAACCCTGCCTCTTCTGCTGCCCATCAGAACGTTGCACAGGCACGTTGGCATGAGTTTGGGGCGCTGGTTCTTGAGTTGGTGAGTCAGGTCTTCGATGACTTGGGCAACCGAACAGCAGCAGCTTGGCACAATTTGGCACATTCTGAATGCTGACAGTCATGTTCAACCTTGAAGGCCCTGAATATCCGTAAGGCCTTGGCGCACTATCAGCACTGGGTGGACTTGGAGCCAAGGCATTCAGGGAGCCACAGTGCGCCACCCATAACACCAGAAAGGTAGAGTTGTTGTGCGATTGCAGGTCTGCGAAAGCCAAAAAGGGTCTGGCACTGTCATACTTGTGGGTTCAGGACTTGGGTGGGCAAGGCAAAGAATGCGGTACAGAATAGTTGCGTCGTTTAGTGTCCCGTCAAAACTGTGGAAGCTGATACTGCTGCGATTCGCCCTCGCTACCCCTACAGTCTTTGAAGATATTTGGAAGCTAGGCATCATTTGCCAAAGGGTGGCGCAGGTAAGAAGCAGGAGCTTCACAATGTAGTGTAACCAAGGCACATACGGACCGTCTTCAAGACGGAAGTCGGCTATGCGATGAGGCACGGGGGGCTCATGCCCCCCCTTTTCAAATCTTGTCAGCCAGCATGTAACAGGAGCAGATTCTTTTCCATGGCACATCCTCTCATTGCAGGCTGCGGAGCTTGATGTAGCTGACCCTTCCATACCCTTCGATTGCGCTCAGTTGCTGGTGTTGCTCCTGCCACCTAGTCAGGAGGCCAGGTAGGGGGTGATACCTTTCAGCTTTTCAGGATCAAATCTCCACTACTTTCCACTTGTATAGCAGCCTTGCTCAGGCCACTGCACAGCAGGATTTCTGCACTCGTGACAGTGCTGCCCTTATCATCACTTGGAGAACTTTCCATCTTCAGGTGGCCAGTGGAACCTCCCAGGCTTTGAGGAATGTGGTGATCCAAGCAGCTCACACTGGTCGGGGACCCAGTGAAAGCCAGACAGTAGCTTTTTCTTGCCAGCTTTTCCTTCACTGCAGGATGACTCACATCGAACCGAAATTTCGAAGGGCGCAGGACTGCTAGGGATCAGTGCGATGCAGTGGCTATATCCTTAGACATCATCTACATACAGAGATTGCAAGTGATTGTTGACCTGTGTTGACCTTGTTTTGAGCGGGTATTTCGCTGTTACTGTGAGTGTAGGAAGCTGCTTTTAGATCTTGGCCAAAATCTCAGTTTTCGTTTCAAAATGCTTTATGGTAGTTTTGCCTCAGTTCGCAAGTGGAAACACAACATGCATAGGCGTGGAGGGCCTGTGGCCTTGCCTTTCAACAGTAAGGACTGAGCAACTGCACAGTTTCGGCTTGCTATGACTTGTGCCTCAGATCCCTGAGGACGCAGTGACATGGGCCGACTCACCAACCAGGTGTACCCAGGGAGTGGCTCAGAGCTAAGACTGTCAGATGAGCCCTGGGGATGTCTCTGACTAACATGACATGAGGCAGTTCGAGATCCCCTCCAAGTGGCTGAGATTCAGGTGGGGATTTCAAGTCCTTTGTCTGGAAGTTTCATGAAGTTTCCAAAGGTGGCGCCCCACAGTTAGCTAAGTTGGTTCATAAATAAGTTATATATATATATATATAACTATAACATCTAAAACTAGGGTTTATGATAGATGTATATAGATGTATCATTGATGTATCTTTCGGGTTTATATGGGTTTATAAACCAACTTATAGCCGCGGGGCACCACCTTGTAGCAGCCTGGGCAAATGACACATGCAGTTCTTATGCTGAAGGCTGTGCATGAGCTCTCGACAGGCCTGCTCGTTGAAAGTGTGGTAATATGTCGTAATATCGAACGATTCGAAAGTGTGAGAAATAGTGGGGTGAGACAGTGAGACACTAACATATTATAAAATATTCATTAAAATCATTGAAATAAAAAATGATGCACAGACATTGCCTTGACACAGTCACAAAATGTCACAAATCAGTCACCCCAACTAACTACCCTTAGGGTCGCAGCATAGCGCAGCTGGAACTTGGTCCAGGTGGCTCGGTGTATGGCCAGAGGATACCTGTGACCTTTGGCGGCCCATTTTCTTGGGCTGGACAACGATACATTGAGCGCAGCGTCCGCAGGGCACTCAACTTTTGGGAGGTTAGATGAATTTGGATAATGCAGAGATCAACAGATAGATCAGATAGATGAACAGAGTGCACACTGGAGTCAAGTGACAGTGGAGGCGAAAGAAACGGAGAGAGTGCTAACGTAGAAGAGATATTAGGGATGCAAGGCCTGGGGTGTGGCATGGTTCGCCTCCCTGCATATTGTGGGGGGTGCTCCCAAGGATTATCCACCTTGACTGACGTGATGATCAGCGGGAATGAGGGTGCAGCAACCTCAGACTGCTAATTCCAGCTGATCTTCATATATTTTTGAATTATGTCTAGGGATATCTAGGAATGAATTACACAATAGAACCTGCAGTGATAGCCATTGCCATAGCTATTGAATGGTGCTACGAGGTCGTGACAAAAGGTTGCCAGATTCTGGTGCCCTACTATGACAAGCAGGTGCCATGGCACGAGAACCTTCCACATCCGGCACATCCAAAAGAGGAGGTGAAATGGCTTCCTGTGGCGTTGGGAGCCCAGTACATGTCTGAGATTGTCTGAGTCATTTCGCATGAAGTCTCGCCGTTTTGCTTGGCCTTTTTGTGCTGTGGAAATAGCCATGGAGTGTTCAGTTTCCGGGAGGTTGTGGCTACTGGTGATGTTTCCAGCGAATTTCTTCAGCTTTTTGGTCGATGAGTTGGCGCGATTGGCCGTGTGGTTAACTGCCAGCACCCCAGGGATCTACAGAGAAGCAGCGGCTGAGTTGCCGAGCATTGTCAAGGATATGTCAAGGATATGATGATATGATTCATTATCAAAGGAAGTTGGGAAGCAATACTTCCGTGTTACGGACAAATAGAATTCTGCGACTTGAAATGATGCAGGGTGGTAGATCACATAACAATACATAACAAAAGAATAAGAAGCAGTTAATGACGGGTGGTGACGAAGGGAAGTGGTGACGAAGGGAAGTGGTGACGAAGGGAAGTGGTGACGAAGGGAAGTGGTGACGAAGGGAAGTGGTGAAGAAGGGCAAGTGGTGACGAAGGGAAGTGGTGAAGAAGGGAAGTGATGATGAAGGGAAGTGGTGAAGAAGGGAAGTGGTGACGAAGGGAAGCGGTGAAGAAGGGAAGTGATGATGAAGGGGAGTGGTGACGAAGGGAAGTGGTGAGGAAGGGAAGTGGTGACGAAGGGAAGTGGAGAGGAAGGGAAGTGGTGACGAAGGGAAGTGGTGAACAAGGGAAGTGATGATGAAGGGGAGTGGTGACGAAGGGAAGTGGTGAGGAAGGGAAGTGGTGAAGAAGGGAAGTGGTGACGAAGGGAAGCAGTGAAGAAGGGAAGTGATGATGAAGGGGAGTGGTGACGAAGGGAAGTGGTGAGGAAGGGAAGTGGTGACGAAGGGAAGTGGAGAGGAAGGGAAGTGATGATGAAGGGGAGTGGTGAGGAAGGGAACTGGCAAGCATGAAGGGGAGTGGTGCATGATGTTGCAAGGGCTTTGTTTTGGGGAGGAAGCCGGAGCACGAAACCTTGTGTTTTTCCGTGTAAAGTGGCTGCAGGCGACGATGAAAGGTACCTCGTCTGTGCGGCGGGTGCGGCTGCGGTCGGTTTATCGTTTTTTTTTTGCCGCAGTGTAACAGTGGCTTCAAGCTGCTTTGGGTGTGCTTGTGTGTGCGTAGTTATAGGGTGTTTTGGAATCTGTGCTTGCAGATCGCATTGGAATGGCTGCATGATGTTGCAAGGGCTCTGTTTTGGGGAGGAAGCCGGAGCACAAAACCTTGTGTTTTTCCGTGTAAAGTGGCTGCAGGCGACGATGAAAGGTACCTCGTCTGTGCGGCGGGTGCGGCTGCGGTCGGTTTATCGGTTTTTTTTTGCCGCAGTGTAACGGTGGCTTCAAGCTGCTTTGGGTGTCCATGTGTGTGCGTAGTTATAGGGTGTTTTGGAATCTGTGCTTGCAGATCGCATTGGAATGGCTGCATGATGTTGCAAGGGCTCTGTTTTGGGGAGGAAGCCGGAGCACGAAACCTTGTGTTTTTCCGTGTAAAGTGGCTGCAGGCGACGATGAAAGGTACCTCGTCTGTGCGGCGGGTGCGGCTGCGGTCGGTTGGTCGTTTTTTTTTGCCGCAGTGTAACGGTGGCTTCAAGCTGCTTTGGGTGTGGTTGTGTGTGCGTAGTTATAGGGTGTTTTGGAATCTGTGGTTGCAGATCCCATTGGAATGGCTGCATGATGTTGCATGGGCTATGTTTTGGGGAGGAAGCCGGAGCACGAAACCTTGCGTTTTTCCGTGTAAAGTGGCTGCAGGCGACGATGAAAGGTACCTCGTGTGTGCGACGGTTGCGGCTGCGGTCGGTTTATCGTTTTTTTTTGCCGCAGTGTCACGGTGGCTTCAAGCTGTTTTGGGTGTGGTTGTGTGTGCGTAGTTATAGGGTGTTTTGGAATCTGTGGTTGCAGATCCCATTGGAATGGCTGCATGATGTTGCATGGGCTCTGTTTTGGGGAGGCAGCCGGAGCACGAAACCTTGTGTTTTTCCGTGTAAAGTGGCTGCAGGTGACGATGAAAGGTACCTCGTGTGTGCGACGGTTGCGGCTGCGGTCGGTTTATCGTTTTTTTTTTGCCGCGGTGGCTTCAAGCTGCTTTGGGTGTGCTTGTGTGTGCGTAGTTATAGGGTGTTTTGGAATCTCCGGTTTTGCAACTCAGTCTCTGCAGATCGCATTGGAGTGGCTGCGTCAAGGTTGCTTGGTGCAGCGGCTGCATGCGTAATACTATTGTCTTTTGCAGCTGAAAATTGTAAATCGTATTGGAGTGGCTGCATCCAGGCTGCGATAGTCATTTGTCAGCAGATTTTCCCAATTTTGGCGCTAATAATTTTCCTTTTAAAATTCCTTTTAAAAAGTGCTTCAAAATCGTCTTTTTTCTGCTTTGGCGTCGAGATCCGGTTTTGGAGCTGCAATTTCCGACGCCATTGCACGTAGTTCTATTGTGTTTTGCAACTCAGTCTCTGCAGATCGCATTGGAGTGGCTGCGTCAAGGTTGCTTGGTGCAGCGGCCGCATGCGTAATACTATTGTCTTTTGCAGCTGAAGATTGTAAATCGTATTGGAGTGGCTGCATCCAGGCTGCGATAGTCATTTGTCAGCAGATTTTCGCAATTTTGGCGCTAGTAATTTTCCTTTTAAAATCCCTTTTAAAAATGCTTCAAAATCGTCTTTTTTCTGCTTTGGCGTCGAGATCCGGTTTTGGAGCTGCAATTCCTGTGTGGAAAAGTTTGTGTGTAAACGCTTGCCATGTGTAAAAGCACTGTGTGCAAGTACTGTGTGTAAGTGTTCTGTGTCTAAACGCTTGCTGTGTGTGAAAGCTTGCTGTGTGTAAAAGATGTTGCGTGTAAAAGTTTGCTGTGTGTAAAAGCTTATCTGCGCATGTGTTAAAAGTGTCTCTGTTAAAAGTTTTTTTTTGTGTGTGTAAACGCTTGCCATGTGCAAAAGCACTGTGTGTAAGTGTTCTGTGTAAACGCTTGCCATGTGTAAAAGCACTGTGTGCAAGTACTGTGTGTAAACGCTTGCTGTGTGTGAAAGCTTGCTGTGTGTAAAAGTTTACTGTGTGTAAAAGCTTCTCTGTGTAAAAGTTTCTGTGTGTGTGTGTAAGCGCTTGCCATGTGTAAAAGCACTGTGTGTAAGTGTTCTGTGTGTAAATGCTTGCTGTGTGTGAAAGCTTGCTGTGTGTAAAAGCTTCTCTGTGGAGTGAAGAAGTGTGGGGAGTGTGAAGAAAGCAATGAGAAGTGTGAAGTGTGGACTGTGACGTGTAAAGTGTGAAGTATGAAGTGTGGAGTCTGAAGAAAGCAGTGAGAAGTGTGAAGCGTGGAGTGTAAAGCGTGGAGTGTGAAGTGTGGAGTGAGAAGTGAGAAGTGTGAAGTGTGGAGTGTGAAGTTTGGAGTGCGAAGAGTGCAGTGTGAAGTGTGAAGTGTGGAGTGCGAAGAATGCAGTGTGAAGTGTGAAGTGTGGAGTGTGAAGTGCGAAGTGGAGCTTCACATGTGACATGTGAAGCAGGACACAACTTTCGCAGAGTGCACGCACGCACGGGCTTGGCTGGCGCACGGCGCATGCAAGTTCTATAGATGAGAAAGGTCTTATATATATCTTTAAGGCAACTTCCGCCCCGCCTCGTGCGGGTACTACTGGTATTTCCTAATGAGCAGGTCCCTGGTCTCCTTGATCATGTGTAGCAACATATAGCAACTCTGATCCTGAATGGCTTGGCTGCAGTATGATGCGGTCGTTGCGTGCTGCCCATCTATCTTTGCCAACACCCGCTGGCTGAATCGTTCAGGTCAGCAAGCAGCGTGTGCCTCTACTGGCTCGCCTCTTGACCGGGCATGGTACAGCAGAAACCTTTCAGCTTTCAAAGCTCCAAGGTGCCTGCAGATCGGGGGAAGCTGAAAGGCTTCATGTATGACTGGTTTGCGCTTCTTGGAGGTTCGCTGGTTCTTCGATTTCCCCAAAAAATCCGCATCGTTGAACAAGTGATGGCTCATCGCATGGCAATACACCCCACTTCGCAGAGCTGGAAGTTTCAAAACATGTGTTTTTCCATGTTTTCATATGTTTTCCCTTTCTTTGGAAGCTTCGAAGTGATTCCATACGACGTCAGGGGCTCAGAAAAATGAACCGAAAGACTTCGTCCCATGGCTTCGCGGTGCCACCCCAGGTGCGACCGCACTTCATGGGCCCGGAACGGGTTGCTGAACCACGGTTTCTGGTGCGCGAGCGGGACCCTTGAGCTTTGCAGCACAGAGAGCTAGGGAAATTCATTGCAGAAAAGAACGCAAGCAACAGCTGATAAAGCCGTATAAAGCCGTGGAAAACATCCAAGGAGTTTGTTCCAGTCTCTGACGTACTGTAAGTTCTCCTGCTGAGGCTTCACATGGTGGATTGGCATGCACGATCCTTGGGTTCAGAACAGCTTTGGGCTCGGAAATTGCGATGACTGAGGATGCGCCTGAATCAGCAAAGAGAGAAGATGTCTTCCTCCTGCCGCCACGCTGGGCGCTCCAAAACTTGTCCCGAGCTTAGATTCACGAATTCCAATGGATTTCTTGCGAGCAAACTGCTGCAAACGATTGCAAACGACAATTGTTTCACTTTGTCGAGGCGCAGACTTGCAGTTGGTCAAGCATTGGGGTTTCAAGAAACAGGAAATCAAGAAGAAGGCCACATTTCAAACAACGACGCGAGTATTTTTGTCTCATTTTGTCTCATTTTGTCTCATTTTGTCTCTTTTCTTTTCTAATAAGATTCATGTTTGTTCATGCAGCATTTTCAGATCCACCATCTCCAGGATCTCCAAGATCTCGAAATCACACTCTGCTTTGGATCCAACGCGCAACCGCAACGACTCGGCGAGTGGCCAATGAAGAAGCCCTGTTGCATGCCATGATGGCAGAGATGGGGTCAGGCAGAGAGCCGAAGGATTCAGTGATGGTGAAATATTGATAAATATGGTGGAATCATGTCAGATTCTGTCAGATTCTGTCAGATTGGTGTCATTCTTGATCATTGAGAGGTTGGCAGCTGAAGGTCTTTTCGGACATTCCACCAGCGAAGCGAGCTCAGCACGAGCCACATCCACTTCCACTGGTGTGCTGATCTGTGTCGTTGTGGTGTCAGTCATGAACCACGAATACCTCCAAGCAAAGCTCCAGCGGCCGATGGTTCACTTCTAGTTATGGGATCACCAGAGGTGAGCCGTTGGGACCGTTGGGACCGTTGGGACATGGTGCGCTATGTCAACTTGAACGGTTTTTCAGTGTCGACGAAAGATTCGTCAGAACTGGTTGGTGAGCCCAGGGGCAAATTTCTGAGGCCAACTGCTCATGAGGCTTTGCATCTCTTCCGCTCTGCAGACCTGGTGGTGGGGCTGTATCATGGCAGTGAAATCCAGAGGGTCACGGTGAGGAAACCATTCAGCCATTCCTTCATAATGTCATATGTGTGCATATATTGGTTTGACATATTTTGAGGTGTTTTGTAGACTGTTGCAGCAGTTCCTGGCCGCACTTTTGTGAAGACTTCCTATCCACCAAGCTCAGGCTCGACATAGTAGCTTTGCGTTGTGTCACATTCACCAAGGCATGGCTCGGGACAGGCAAATGTTGTGTTTTGCAGACCAAGAACTGGCATTGTCGACATCAACCTGTGCGGCGGCCCATTGCTCCAGAGAAGCGTTGGACCGTTGGACTTTGACTTGCATTGACTCACATTGATTGGTACTGGAGATTATTGGAGTGTCAAGTCATTAGAAGTTCAGGGTCTGCAGCCACTTTTGCACCCTCCCGGACAGTCAGGCAAATATTTGAAACGCAGCCAAGCTTCCAGCCATGGGTGGTTGCTGCAGTCAGTCAACCATTCCCAGACACACTGCATCTCGGATTTTGAGGCCAAGAATAGGAAAGCAACCCCTGCACGACCAGATGTGTGCGCTTGCAGCAAAACACTGCAAAGTTAGAGTAGCTGAACAATCCGACAATAGTCCATTCTATTCTATTCTATTCTATTCATTTCTATTCTATTCTATTCTGTCCTATCCTATCCTATTCTACTCTACTCTATTCTATATTATTCTATTCTAGGTAGGTCACAATGTTCTACTATATTCTATTAATGTTTAAATTCAATCTTTAATATAATATAATATATATATAGATCTCTATATCTATATCTATATCTATATCTCTATCTATCTATCTATCTATCGCCTTTTAAGTGACGCCTTCAAATTGCTAGAACCTGCAAGACGCATGCTTTGTGTGCGAGGAACAAACCTCGAATCAGAAACTTCCCGCGAATCGGCAACAAAGAATCAGAAACTAAAATCCGCGAATCAGAAACAAATCCGGGAATCAGAAACCAAAATCCCACGAATCAGAAACCAAAAACCGCGCGAATCAGAAACTAAAGTACAGGAATCAGATACAAAACCCCGCGAATCAGAAACTGAGAATCAGAAACTAAAAATTGCGAATCAGACACCAAGATCCGCGAATCAGAAACCAAACAAGCCCACGAATCAGAAACCAAAAAAAGCGAATCTGAAACCAAATCTGCCACCCCCCTGAACATTTTGTTGAATGAGATATTACCGCCAGCTTATCCTCACAAGGGATCAAACCCGCCACCCCCTCTGAACACAATGTTGAAAAGGATATTGCATTTATTTATTTTTTCCTCGTGAGGGAAAAAAATCTGCCACCCCCTCTGGCCATTATGTTGAATGATATATTACCGTCAATTTATCCTCATAAGGGATCAAATCCGCCACCCCCTCTGATCACTATGTTGAATGGGATATTACCTTCAACTTATCTTCAGACATCAAATCCGGCACCCCTCTGGCCATTATGTTGAATGAGATATTACCTTGAACCTATCCACATATGGGATCAAATCCGGCACCCCCTCTGACCATTATGTTGAATGAGATATTACCTTCAAAGCATCCTCACAAGGGATCAAATCCGGCACCCCCTCTGACCATTATGTTGAATGAGATATTACCTTGAAAGTATCCTCATAAGCGACACAAATCCGGCACCCCCTCTGACCATTATGTTGAATGAGATATTACCTTCAAAGTATCCTCACAAGGGATCAAATCCGGCACCCCCTCTGACCATTATGTTGAATGAGATATTACCTTCAAAGTATCCTCACAAGGGATCAAATCCGGCACCCCCTCTGACCATTATGTTTAATGAGATATTACCTTCAAAGTATCCTCATAAGGGACACAAATCCGGCACCCCCTCTGACCATTATGTTGAATGAGATATTACCTTCAAAGTATCCTCACAAGGGATCAAATCCGGCACCCCCTCTGACCATTATGTTTAATGAGATATTACCTTCAAAGTATCCTCACAAGGGATCAAATCCGGCACCCCCTCTGACCATTATGTTTAATGAGATATTACCTTCAGCATCTGTCAACTTATCTTCATAAGAAATCAATTCCTTCACCCCCTCTGGCCGTTATTTTGAACAGGATATTACCTCCAACTTCTCTTTCCGATTGAAGGAGACAAGCTGCCCATTCTGATTGATTCAGCTGGTTTAGTTTCCGATTCTCCGGTTTTAGTTTCCTATAGTTTCCGATTCACCTGCTTTAGTTTACGATTCAGCTGTGGTTGCCGATTCCGGGGTTTTGGTTTACGATTCAATGTTCTTAGTTTTCGATTCTCCGGTTTTAGTTTCCGATTCACCTGCTTTAGTTTACGATTCAGCTGTGGTTGCCGATTCCGGGGTTTTGGTTTACGATTCAATGTTCTTAGTTTTCGATTCTCCGGTTTTAGTTTCCGATTCACCTGCTTTAGTTTGCGATTCAGCTGTGGTTGCCGATTCCGGGGTTTTGGTTTACGATTCAATGTTCTTAGTTTCCGATTCTCCGGTTTTAGTTTCCGATTCACCTGCTTTAGTTTACGATTCAGCTGTGGTTGCCGATTCCGGGGTTTTGGTTTACGATTCAATGTTCTTAGTTTTCGATTCACGGGTTTTAGTTTTCGATTCACCTGCTTTTAGTTTATGATTCAGCTGTGGTTGCCGATTCCGGGGTTTTGGTTTACGATTCAATGTTCTTAGTTTTCGATTCACGGGTTTTAGTTTTCGATTCTTTTGGTTTCCGATTAACAGGTTTTAGTTTCCGATTAACTGGTTTTGGTTTCCGATTCACGGGTTTTTGTTTCCGATTAACGGGTTGTAGTTTCCGATTAATAGCTTGACCTGTGTGCGAGATGCAAGCTGCACGATTTTTATGCCCGTTTATGCTATGTGATTATTTGGCATGGGTCGGTGTGACGACTGCCAAGCCTGTATATACCTCAGATTCACTCTATTCACTTGCTCTAGTGGAAGCTGTGAAGGAATTGTGTTTGGCATTGTGTCTTCACCTTTATCGGCATGTTTATGCAGACGGACCTTTTACCGGCCCACAAATTGGGGTAGGGTGGGGTGGGGTGGGGTGGGGTGTCCATTCGTCAGTACTGCAAGACATGATGCGATGCTACGCTACGCATGGGGTGGGGTGGGGTGGGTTGTGATACCATTCGTCAGTACTGCAAGACATGATGCGATGCTACGCTACGCATGGGGTGGGGTGGGGTGGGTTGTGATACCATTCGTCAGTACTGCAAGACATGATGCGATGCTACGCTACGCATGGGGTGGGGTGGGGTGGGTTGTGATACCATTCGTCAGTACTGCAAGACATGATGCGATGCTACGCTACGCATGGGGTGGGGTGGGGTGGGTTGTGATATGTTGTGATACCATTCGTCAGTACTGCAAGACATGATGCGGCGTCGATGGCAACTGGAAATAGATGAAAAAGTCAATTCCAGACAGCATTCGTTCCCAAGTCCAAGGCAAACGCAATGGTTTGTTGTTCAAGTACATTCGAAGTCAACAATGGAGATGGGAACATACTGGCTTCGACTTGCTGACCGCAACTAGCGAAGCTGTAAGATCTCTCATGCGGTGAAGAGAAAAGGCCACTTTGTTCGTTCGTCGGGTTTTGCAGCACAAAACCCTGTAAGGGTTGCAAGCCACAGTAAGGCGGATGTTTTTTTTGATGGTCGTTTGCCACATGAAATCGCGCTGGCGCCACAGCGAAACAACAATTTTTGGACAATCATGGGCCGGTGCCAGGTCCGCCGGGATGTTTATGTCGGCAAATTTAGAGTGCCGGCATGTCATTCACCATCATTCCTTTGAAAGTGAGCCCAGACATGCGCACTATCGCAGATGGGGTTAGAGGCAAGCATCTTCCAGCAGTACGATGCGAATGGAAATGGCCAGCTGGAAACGTCAGAGCATCTTGGCTCATGCTGAATCTTAGGGCAAAAAAAGATCAGCGTCCCATGCTCTGACCACCTACCACTGCAATGAAACTGAGGTTGGCAGCTTTCTTGCGTGATGCCTTTCCAGGCCTCCATTTTAATGTGTTTCCCAGGCGTACTATCAAGTCTTTTTGGAAGTGCTTCCGGCAGGCAAGGATCTGTCAAACAAGCAAGTGGACGACTTCATGAATGAGTTCGACGCAGACAAGAGTGGAACAATTGGTTTGAATGAGCTTCATGCTTTTCTACGCTTTTACGATTCGTCCTCCAAGACCATGCGGAGGAAGACGGTGCCTGGACCAAAGAGGATGAGGATGGATGGTATGAATACAGAATACACATAAGCCCCAGGACCGCACTCATTCTGCTTTCAATGATCTGATGAGGCACTTTTGGTGATTGATGTCCAGAACGACTTCATTTCTGGTACGCTGGCCGTGCAGACATCTGAAGGCATCGTTCCCACCATTAACCAGATGCGAGATCAGTTCGATTGTGACCCTTGGCCTGAGAACTGATGGTGAAAGCATCTGAAATTCGCTAGCACTGCACATGAGACTGGGCAGGCTTGTGTTGCATTCGCATCAAGTTTGACACGAGATCGACAGGTTTGAGTTTCTTTCTTTAATCTGAGTATGGCCAGATGGCATCGCCAAGGTCGTGATTTCATATGACTGGCATCCACATGAGCATTGCTCATTCGTTGAGAGTGCCAATGCCGGGAAAGTGGCAATGAAAGAAACTGAGTAAGTTGGCGGCAGTTAGGATGTAAATAACATCAACATTACATCAACTGATTCAAGTCTTTATATCTTTCTGAGTGATTCACATGCACTATGTTGTGATATGCTACAATGTTTTGGTCTATAGTCAGTCTATATTTGAAAACATCTATATAACAACATTAACAGAATTAACACATCTATATCCTTTTGAATCCCGCTGATGAGTTGTGTGAAACAGCACGGGGCACGTCCATGCTAAGGAGTGTTGGCAAGCTCAAAGCGTTCACTCAGGCCTGGCTTCCTGGTGAATTCCAGAGGGTAAGACTGTGCCGACATAGGGCATAGGCGGCATAGGGGTACATTATGAGGAAGACTTTGTCCTCCCCACTACTGAACATGTTTAGAACTTTTTTTGGGGGGTTTTGACTTGAAGACGTTTGAAGTTTTGAAGAATCAGCTGGGCAATTGCTGAGCTGGTTTTACAGACTTTGACTCGTTCATACTCATTCATTTTGTTTGCTTACGCTTTTGCACTCAAACGGCATGACTGACGGTCCATTTCTTGACAATGTCATTGTTTTAAGCCCTTTCATTATTGTGCAGTCATTCTGTGGTTATCTTATCTCTTTAAATCTTGTGGACAGGTTTCCCCCAAAAGCTCCGGGTTTCCACAATTTCTATTCGCCCAGAGGCCCAGAGGTCATAGTCCCTTTGGACACGGTCTTTAAATTTGAGAAGATAAAACGGGCAAGCCATGCATAAGAATGATTAAGAATGCTCTATTGGATTCAGTTTCAAAGTTTTACATGTGTTAGCGACTGAGCTGAGCCGCTGCTGAGCCATTGAGGGGTTGAATCCTTTGATTCATGCTGGATGGGAATAAAACGAATTGCGAAATGGATGGGTGTTTTGGATCCATAGATGAACAACCCGCAGACAGGTGCGTAGATGGAATGGATGGATGAAGAGGAAAGCGGGATCTATTGAAAGGAACCCTTAAAGCAGAAACCTACGACTGCAAGACATGTTGTCCGCAACCTTAACGTTCGCCCAGACTCATGATTGTGACATAACACGGACAACTAAACAGAGACAAATCCACTTTATCTTCATGAGGGATCAAAATCCGCCACCCCCTATGACCAATATGCTGAACGGGCTAACAACATCAACTTTATCTTCATGAGGGATCAAAACTCGCCACCTCCTCTGACCAATGTGTTGATTCGGGAAGTACATCAACTTTATCTTCATGAGGGATCAAAATTCGCCACCCCCTCTGAACAATACGTTGATTGGGATAATAACATCAACTTTATCTTCATGAGGGATTAAAATTTGCCACCCCCTATGACCAATGTTGAATGGGGTAATAACATCAACTTACACGATTTAAAAGGCGGGACATCAACTCCGGGCAAACGTCCAGGTTGCAGCGGACATGTTTGTAGTGCAAACTTCCCATTCCCCATCTAGATGGACCAAATACCTGGCAGAATGGAAAAAAAAACGATACGCAGAGGGAAACCTGTTGACAAGCGACTAATGATTTTTGATTAAGGCGTTGACTTTCCTATATCATTCATGTACATCCATGTACAACAATCCCTGCCCTGACTTCCACGAAGCTACCGATGCCAAGATCTTGCTCTTATGTGCTAGGTGACCCTGCTGGGTGATGCAGATCGCGCAGAACATCCACAAATGCTGTATCCCCGCCATGCTGTTCAGACTTTGAGCTGAAATAGTTCATGCGGATCGCTAGAACCCAGAGGGCATGTGAGACGGCTGAGCGCGAGCCTAGTAGCAAAGCAGCAAAGTGATCAAAATGTGACGATGAACATCTGATGCGTTTGAGGAACACGTGGGGCGGTGAATGCCACAAAGATCTGGTGGTGAAACCCGAAGATATGTCCGTCAACCGGCAGCAGTTCAGATCGCCCCATGGAGCGCCACTTTGCGCCTGAATCAAGCTGATTTCTGTTGATTTGTGTCGATTGGCTGGTGACGTCACCGCTCTTCGACTCTTGAGTATATTCAGTGTGTAAACGATCAATTTTTTCCTACCAGACCCAGGTGTACAAGGGAAAGAAGGCCAACATCGATTCCTATTCCGCTTTTTTCGACAACTGCAAAGCCAATGACACTGGCCTGACGAAGCAGCTTGAAGACGCTGGAGTCACCGATGTCTATTGCAACTCACTTCAACTTGACTTCAGGACATGTAAGGGGCAGGCTGATTGTAAACTATGTTCAAATATGTTCAAAGCGCTACACACCTGCAATTAAGAAGCGCCAGAGAAAAACAAAGAAACATATTGAACCTATTTCAAACATTTGCAAACTATGAATGACTATGAAGTCATGGGAAGGCCATTGGATCTTCATGCCGTCACTTAGGTTGTGGCTTGGTCTTCGACATATGTGTCAAGTCGTCTGCGCTCCATGGAGCGGAGATGGGCTTCCGCGTGTCTGTCGATTGGCTGATATTGGCTGCATTCAGAGGTCTCAAGGATTCTGAAGGTCTAAGGAAGCGAGACATGGGAAGGCACCTGATCAACTTCAGACCAAGTCGTAAGAGGGTCTCGTCCACATCTCACAAACTTGGGAGATGTTAAGCAGGTCCTCTTAGATTCACGTGCCATCATGCCGGCGTGGAAAAACTCGCGCTGTGTGCCTTCTCAGGTGATCGAAGATGCCTGCAAACCTCTGAGTGAAAGCGAGGTGCTGCCAACGAAGAAAGTCCTGAACGAGGCAACCCGGAGCTGTGTCGTTGCCGACTGGGGACTCCTCCTCCGGGAATGAACCTTGATCAGAGGTCGAAGATGCACACAGCGTCTTGTTTGCTCAGTGTTGGTTGCTGAATTTCCCATTCTTGAAGCTACAGCTGCTTAGGACTTCATCTCGTCGTAATATATAATGTCATTGTTTCGCGCAGATGACTGAGATGACCGACAGGTTGCTTTGCAGATGTAATGCTGTAGCCCAACAACACACTCAACACACCTGCAAGTCTCCAAAGTGTTGATATGTGTTGATGCTTGCGACAGCCCGGAGGCTGGCGTGAGGGTGCTGACCTCAGCCCAAGCCGTGGCAGAGGTGAAGCAGATTAAAGCTGCTGGGAATATGGTTTCTTGGACAAGATCAGCAAGGGGTATTTGACTGGAGTGCCGCAACGTGTCACGTATAAATTTGGCCGCCCTGAACATGACGCACATGACGGCCATAGTGCTTCGCTTTGATTTTGACGTTTTGCTTGATATCAGGCTTTGGGGGACTTCATTCAACAAGTGGCACATCACAAAAATGCGGCCATGCTTCACAAAGTCGAAGCATTGTCATCGCACTGTCTTCGCGGCTAGCAGACATGTCTCTCAGCCTTCGGCACACGTTGCACACTACATTTTTTGCAAAATACTGTAGCTAGATTAGATGCCCTTCATCGTACCAATGGACTGACATACCCTCTCGCAAGGGCCAGAGGAAGAAAAAGTGTTCCTGCACTGTTCCTGCCACAGTTCTTGCAACATTTGAGATAACTATTTTGCCATCCTTTCCCGGGCTTTGTACAGAGCAGTTGTATCCAGCCACAGTTTGGAAAGGCCGGAGCCTCACTCCCAATACACAGCACACAACAGTCCTCACCTCAGAGCACAGGGAGAACTGGGATTTCCAGGCGGCAGGCCCAGGGTGGCAGAGATTCGAGGCTTCGCCCTGGACTTCAAATACAGATTGGTGCCTGGGCAAGGATTCCGACTTTGAAAGGTATAGAAGGGTCTTGAACATATTCTTACACACACACACACGCACATATACAATATTACACATATTTAAATAATTATATTATATAGTATTCTTGAAGTATCTTGAGCTTTTCTTTTTCAAGTGCTGTGGAACATGGGTAGTCGGTGGCAACTACCATCTTGATTTGAAATAGCCATGCCAGCGGGAAGGTGACAGGATGCAGAACATGGTGGCGCTGCGGTCGATCTCTGTTTCTGAGGTGATGCTTCGCGGGATTGGATTGCACCAATCGGTGAACATCACCGTGCCCATCGACGACGTACTCGAAGCCCTCAGGACTTCTAGACTTTCTATGGGTGTGCGAATGCGAGAGAAGTATATCATAAAAAAACTAACGTGGATGTTGGTAAACGTGGCGGTGTCCCCGCTGCCAGACATCATGAAAAATCAGGAAACTCCAGAAAACTTTCTGGACCCTCTGGTTTAAAGCATGAAATCACCTGACGGTGTTGTTGAAAGGACTGGCTGGCAGGAAATTGAATTGAAGGTCAAATGCCCACTACTCCACCAAACTGGCCTTTGTTGATGGCTGAAACTCTAGATTTCATGTGTGCAGAGTTCTGGCCCAAGATGAGCTGATGCGCTGGTCCTCTCATGAAAGAAGCAGCGAAAGCAAAGCACTTCAAGGTGGGAGCTATGATTTGGCATGTTGCATTTTCCTTTTGTTGGTCTTATTGATCTTTCTGCAATTTGATAGGCTTGTAGAATCAGGAGTATGGGCTGTATCAGGTTCGCACCCACGTTCGGATTTTGTATCGGTGGTCGCAGGTTGGAATACCGGGCCACTGCGACCTGAAGAAGTTAGAGCAGACAGTGAAAGCTGCTTTGGCTGCTCGTCAGTGCAGCGTCAGTGCTGCAAGCTTTTCGGAAGGCTCCTTGATCCTCCGGTATG